TACCTCTACCCCATCAGAATGGGGGCCCCTGGAACCAATATAGATTATTATTAATACAATAAGAAGAAAATCTTCTTAAACTTGGGGTTAACTCTTGTTGGCAGCTCTCCAACATAGCATAGTAAGTACCATTATTCTATCATACAAAACAAATGCACTAAACCAGGGCAATCAAGGGCTGAAAGTTGTAACCTTACACTTAGAATGATTACTGAACAAGCAAAACATATTCTAGCTTGTCGATAAATGCAAAAAACAACAATTTTTAAACCAAAAATGTTTAAAGAACATTCAATAAATAAATGCAAAAAAATAAATACAAGCACACAACATGTCTGCCTGTATTACCCCTAGAGTATTTTTCTATTACATGCAATGTCCTGTGCATAAGTCACAGAGTGGAAAAACACGTCTTCTTCTTCATGTTCACTGACTGAAAGTTATGATTCTTCATCCTCTTCTAGACTATGGTTCTGTTTTACGTGCACAGCCGTCATATTAGATCTGGCACATTTTAATGCAGACAGCTGGTTCCTCGCCTAAGACAGCTGCACTCTCAATTTGAAGGAGACACCTCTAATTAGTCGCCTTTTATGCCATACTTGTCAGGGGGCAGTGGGTCTATTCTACTGTAATTGCCCCAACTGTGCAGGCTGCTTGCCTCATCTGTTATAAGTAAAAGTAAAGACCCTTTTCCAACTCTTCAGGCATATCAGGCTAGACATATATTTTAACATGCCAATTGACACTTAGTGGGTGACTGGGTCAGCATCACACCGGCCACCTTTACTTTCCAGGACCTTAATTGATACCCACTCTAGGTTGGGTTAACCTGGAAGCCGAGATCGGTTATAATAATTACTTTAAATTTCACTGACATCTGAGGGGTAGGTTCCTGTGCTACATCTGCGGTGAGGAGGAGGAAACAGGAAAATAAGTGACCCACCACCTCCACTAAAAAAAAAATTGTTGCAAAAGGGGACCAATTAAGGTTATGCTGAAATGCAATTGCAGCCTGTGTGTTAACGGGCCCTCTGAGGAAAACTGCCCCTTACCAGGCATCCTGTAAGAGGCGACTAAGGGAAGGGTTGGGTACCTCATCCCATAAAAATAACAGCAACACAAAAACAAACTACCTTGAAAAAAAAAAAAAACAGCCTAAGGTACAATGGTCAGAAGAAAACATCTGTTAGACTGAAAGGCGCTGATATTGTAGCCTAGCTGTAAACCACAACACAACATTCAAAAGCTTTGTTAAGGCTGAATGCAAAGAAAAAAAAGGGAAGACCGCCTGACAAAAAATAATCTGGCTTTTCAATGTGACAATAACTTAAGATTATAGTTTTACATCTACCCAGTCTATCACAATAACTTCATTACATCAATCCAATTTCTCATAATTAATTTATTACTTTACATCAATTCAATCTGTCATAATAATGAATGTATCACTTTACAATAACCAAATTTGTTATAATAATAATTGTAATTGTATCCCCCAACACATTTTCTACTTTAGCACAGTAAATTTTCAAGTTTAACAGCTAGATTATTCCAAATAACTTTATCTGACATGTTTTCAGAGTAAATCTTTGGTTATGAGCCTGGATGGATACTTATGTTGGCCAGAAACAAATTCTAATTGTGTAATCACTTGGTGCCTTTTGACTCAACACATCTGATTTCAACAAACACAACTGCTTGCTTTTTTGACATGCTTGCTAAGGGGAAGGTGGGACTATTCCCTCTTCCCCTAAAATGGGTTCCCTCTAGACCCAAAATGGAGAATTAGTAACCTAGTGCATTAAACAATAAAACTTTTGGCTTCCATCTTGCATACAAAACAGAACTAATATTTCATGTTTTTAAAATGTGCCACGGTCGCAGAAGTACAGAAAAACAACCTTCTGAAAAATATGCTACTAAAACATACACAAAAGAATTGTTAAAAGATCATTTCAAAGCCATTATAGTATCAATTGCACAAACAATGTCATAAAAAAAAAAAAAAACTAAAGTGCCACAACAAACTTAATATTAAAATACTGCACTGAACAGCAAAGAAATGCACAATGTGCAAAACATATTTCAAAAACTCTTGCCATTTCATGGTAATAAAGGACCCTTGGCATAACTTCTTCTTTTTCTTCTTTGCATCCAGCCAGCGAAAAATTCTAGATGCTCATCCACTTCTGGACTTCCAGAACCCGAGTTCTGCATGCTTATCTGTTTTACAGATCTAGATTATCTGTATACAGACTGCTGATTCATCACCTCTAAGGCAAATGCTCTACATTTTCAAAGGAAACATCCTCTTTAGTAGACTTTTACTTCATGCCTTGTTACGGGGCAATGGGTCTATAATTGTTTCCCCGCCATAATGGGGCCCTGGAACCCACTTAGGGAGTATTGGGTATATGATGCTAGACTCATATTTCTGTAGACCAATCAGCGCTTCATGGGTGATGTGGGTCAACATCCCAGCAGCCATGTTATTTCCCATAATTGTATCTGGTACCCATTTTAGGCTGGGTCGACATGGAAGCCAGGGTCATTTTTGAAACACATCCGACTCAATTCGGAACTGAACCCAGAACCTTCAATAAGGTATGTCAGCACCTAGCCACTACACCTCCCTTTAGCTAATAACTTTTGTTAAAACACAGTGAATCTGCAGGTTGTAATAAATAACACAAAACAGGTGACTTCCACCTGTGTTATAAATGAGTGATTTATATTGGTTTTTTTCCCATCAGTTGTCATAATTCAATTGTTTATTATCAAAGCTGCCAAAACTTTTCCCACTAATTCATAGGAATGTTTGGCAACAATTAGAACAAACTGTATTTAGCAAAACGGTTCACAATAATTTAAATAGTTAAAAACTGTGGCACACTTTGTTCTTTCTAGTTTTTTTCTTACTTATTGCATTTTACTACAAAGTAAGTATTCACACTGCATTTTTCTTACACTTTATTAGAACACATTTAGTCAAAACAAATGTTTTTTCCTGTAATAATTATTTTCATACTCACTGATTTTAGTGATTAAAAAGTACTTTATAAAATACTCAATTTCATTACAAACTTTATCCACAACATTCGGTCTGGCAACAACTTTTTAATACTGAAACCTGGCAAAAACTTGCATACTGAAGTTAGAGGCACCAACTTTTCTACTGTATTTAAATTAAAAAAAAAAAAAAACATCATACACTATTAAAGCTATCAAATAACATTTTAAAATACAATTCTAAGTCTGAACAAAATATTTGTGTTTTGTAGCAGCAATTAAAATTGCCATATACTGTGTTTCCCCAAACTTAAGCCCAAAGACAAGATCGCCAGCTAGAATGTGAGACTTGTTGCAGAATTTTAGGAAAGCATTATTACTGGACAATGGAGCCAATGGTTCTACAGAGAAAACTGAGTCGTAAGAAATTCATCCTAGAATTTGGGAACTGGAGAGATATGACGATGTCCTAAAAGAAGATGAAATTACTATTTGAATAAACGTACAATTTCGCACATGAACAAATGTAGATTTTGTGTGTGAAAAAACCATAAGACATCCCCTGAAAAAAGCGCCAGTGTGTTTTTTAAAGCAAAAAATGAATAGGATCTGGCCTGATTTTTGAAGGAAACACAGTATTTAATTCACAAAAATATTTTGAGCACATTAAGCTTAATAGTAAGTTTTTTTTAGAGCAATATTGAGGTTTAGCAACAACTTTTCATACAACATTTCAGTCTAAGAACACATTTTCATACATTTAGCCAATCTTTTAAACATTTGTCTAATACAAACCTTTCATACAACATTTAATCCAGCAATAAAACTTTATACATCATTCAAGTCTAGTAAATTCAGTACAGCAACCACCCTTGTCACAAGATTCAGCCTAATAACAACCTGTTATACAAGATTCAACCTAGAAACCACCTTTCATACAATATTCAATCTACATTAAACATTTATATATCATTCAAGTCTACAATAAAATTTTATACATCACTTGTCTAAGAACATGTTCATCATTTCCAGCACACTAAAAGCTTTAATAAACACAGGAATGAGATGTCTACAGGAGTGACAAGAAAAGATTAGATCAGGAATGAGGTCATAAGAGCACAGAACCAATTCTAAATTACATACAAAGACAGCAAATCAAATAGTTTGCCCACTCAGAGAGAATGCCTTGTGACATCACACGACACAAAGAGCATGAGGTATACCAAGAACAAGATGGAAAGATAACAAAAGAAAAAAAAAAAAAACTTAGCAAATGTGTCTATGGTCACGGTGGCCGGAAGAGCAAGAACCTTTTACCGCCAAAGACACCTGATGCAGTAGAAGAGGAAGTGAAGAAGACATATAGCTTTTCATACAAAATTCGGCCTAGCGACAACCTGTGATACAAAATTCAGCCTAGACAACCTGTGATACAAAATTCAGCCTAGCGACAAACTTTGATACAAAATTCAGCCTAGCGACAACCCGTGATACAAAATTCAGCCTGGCGACAACCTGTAATACAAAATTCAGCCTGGCGACCCTTGTTACAAAATTCAGCCTAGAAAACACCATTCTAACAAGATTCAGGCTAGCATAAGTCACGCAAGATTCAGTTAGCAACAACCTTTCATACATTTAGCATAGGAAAAATCTTTCATACAAAGATCAAATTCAAAAGGATTCAGCCTAGCAAGACCCTTTCATACAAGATGCCTAAAAACAACATTACATACAAGATTAAGCCTAAAAACAACCTTTCATACAAGATTCAGCCTAAAAACAACCTTTCATACAAGATTAAGATTTGCATCAGTATAAAAGTCAGCACATCCATCTTCCCCTTCTGATAATTACATTCTATCATGTCTTTTTCTAAATTTCATTTTCAAAAGTTGTTTATTTTAAATCTTAAAATGTATTATCTATCTTCTTTGCTTTTTTTTCTTGTTCTATGTTGCACTATTCCACATGCTAGAAAAAAACAGCTACAAAATTAAATCGCTGTTTGATGAGACATTCCAGATAAAACCCTTTGGACTGTTGCAGGGCGATGGGCGGGCAACAGAGGAGAATGGATTCTCATTGACCTTGAATTTCGTCAAATAGTGTTCCAATGAGTTCAAGGATGAATTTCGCAGCAAGCCAAACACGTTCACCACCTTCAGTTTTGGAAGCTCTATGAGATTCCTAAAAAAATAGAAAGAAATAATTTTTCAAAGATTAAAACAACAAAGAAATATGGGAAAAAAACAGAAATAAAATATCTACGATGAATCTCAAATGTTATCAGAAGAGATATGATGAGAAATGATAATATCAGAAAACAAGTGGGAGCAAAACTGGTGGTACTTCTACTTCGCGTTCAACAGCTGTAAACTTTGGCGGAAAGTTCTGGTTGTTTGTCCATTTCTGGACTCTAGTCCTGCTCTAGAACTTGAGTGTTGCATGCACACTGGTTTTACAGATCTGACTCATGTGTATGCATACTGTTTGTTCCTTGCCACTCAGACAGATGCACTCCGACTTCGAAGGAAGCTCCCATTTAGTCGACTCTTATGACATACTTCAGGGTAGGCAGTGGGTGTATTCTTGTTTCCTCACACTGGGGCCCTAGAATTATCCTGGGGAAGAACTGGTACTAAACTACAATAAAAGACAATAGGTCAAATGGTTTGACCATATGTCAAGACTGCCAGAGGACAGTGCACCACAGACAGCCTTGCCATTCAGATACAATGAAAGCACAGACAGAGGTTACCTATGAAAGCGATAGATAGATGGAATATTTGAGGCAGTGGATACAAGCATCTATGTAGAACACATCAAGGATCTCACCAGAGGCCTGTTTGAAACCTGACAGAACAGAAAAGGACCCTTCTCCACATGTTCAGGCAAAATGGGCATATAGGGCTAGACCTATACTTTACAGACCAATCAGCATTCGGTGGGTGATGTGGTCAACAGCCGCCTTTACTTCCCAGGACTATATCTGGTATATATTTAAGGCTGGGCTGACCGGGGAGAAAAGGTAATTTTTGAAAAATGTTTGTTTCCATCAGGAAATGAATCCACAAACTTCCGATTTGTAGGCAAGCATCTAGCCGCTACACCAGGGTAGACCCTGAAGACAGAAGAGGGACTAGGGTAAAAAGTAAGATAATATCAACTATTACCAGTTTTGGACAGTTTATGAAATGTTTGGTCAAGAAAAAGTCTGAAAAGTGAAATAATATATGTAGACTGAATTAAAATAAACAAGCTAGCTACTGTAAAGCATGATAAAGTATCACCCTTATCACAGAATAAATATGTGCCTGTGGCACATCGGGACATATGGTGCTAAACATTTTTTTTGGGTTAAAAACTAGCTACCGTAAAGCATGATGAAGTATCACCCTTATCACAGAATAAATATGTGCCTGTGGCACATCGGGACATATGGTGCTTAACATTTTTGGGGGTTAAAAACTAGCTACCGTAAAGCATGATGAAGCATCACCCTGAGTAGATATCATGCGCCTGTGGCACATTGGGACACATGGTGCTAAATATGTTTTTGTAATAGAACAATCAGCACCCAACTGGTGATATGGTTGTTGTTATCGATCCAGCGGCGCATGAGCTTTCGCCCTTTGGCCCAATGCCATGTAGTGGAATTTGCATGTTTTCACAAGCTGTTCTTTTGCTGTCTGGAGAGTTGTCGCTGTAGGTGGTTGTAATATAGCAATATATGGTATGTGATATGGTAAACAACATGCTGGCTGCCTTTATTTCCCAGGCTGGGTAAACCTAGTAGTCAAAGTCTGACTCGATGCAGATTCCAACAATAGAACCTCGGCCTGGCAGGCAAGCATCTAGCCACCACACTATTGCAGCTTCTAGATATCCTTCTCTCATAGAAAATCATTCTTCTCTCAAAATGACAACCCACCTCTATGAAACATCCATCTCTAGTAACCTAATATAAACAAGCAGACTACAAAAAGCATGTAAAAGAAGCACCCACCATTACTGAAAACAGAAGCACCCACCATTACTGAAAACAGAAGCACCCACCATTACTGAAAACAGAAGCACCCGCCATTACTGAAAACAGAAGCACCCGCCATTACTGAAAACAGAAGCACCCACCATTACTGAAAACAGAAGCACCCGCCATTACTGAAAACAGAAGCACCCGCCATTACAGGAACTGTATTAATGGGTCGCGGCATTAGGAAGGTTGAGAGCCACTGATCTAGAATATCTGACTCTACGAAACGCAATTCTCTAGCACTGCCGCTATGTGGCTTTAGAATGCTTTCCTGTTAACCAAATACCCCAGACTCACAAGAAAGCGGAATGACTGATGTTGTAACACCGACTGAGTGAAACTTTGTGAAGCTCCTTCAGCTTGCTTCCAATGTGATCCGTGGCAATACCGCTGATTTCTGTTGAGTCGCTGAGGTCCAGTTCTTGAAGACATGGGCATCTGACACACAATGCTGCCACATCTAAAAAAAAAAAATCCAATTAATATCAGACTTTGCAACCACAAGGTCTCCGCAATTTATGACTTTGATCTGTTCTGATTAACAGGCCGTAAGTCACATTTATATTTTTCAACACAATTGTCATTCAATCAGGTTATAAAACATATACATAAAAAATATTATTATCATCATTATGTGCCTTACCAGTTGGCATAAGTGTTCATGCATCTAAATAGATCTTGGTCTTTGTTGTTCTGGATCAGTTCTACTAATGATTTTCCTCAATGCCACTGTCTTAAGCCATCCACCATCATTTCTCTTCTACCAGTGATCTTTTCTGTCATCACAATATTTTCCAGTGCTCCTTTTCTCATCACATTACCAAAGAGCTTTGTTCGTCTCCTTCTCATTGTTGTAGATAATGTTCTACATTCATTTGCCATTTCCAGGCATTAAAAACATTAAAAATTCAATTTAAATATGCACAATTTTTATATATTATTTGAAAGGTACATATATACTCTTTTGCATCAATTCTAGGAACTGTTTGACCCTACCAAGGCAATTATTTGTATTCATTTACAGTAGAGTCTGGATAAGAAGAAGTCGCAGGGACCTAAGAAAATGCTTCCACTTATTCAGACAGCACACACAATAGAGAAAATTGACAGGATTAAGCAGGTCATGTCAACTTAACCGAAATTTGACTTAAGTGGACTCGACTGTACAATGTAAAAAAAAACTTTTTTTGGGTGTGTTCGTAAGTGTGGATGGTCATTAAGTACAGGAGAAGACACATATACGAACAGTTTGTAATGATTCCCCCAGGGAATACCAGGTTTGAGGTTTTTTCTTAAGTTTCCATGATAAAAGGGGTTAACATACAGGCATAAATGATGCACCCATATGTAAAAATAACACACAATAATTTACCTTTGTTGCTAATCTTCTCTCTATTGCCACTGATGTCAAGACTCAGCAGCTGGCGGGGCAAGACTTTAATCACAGACTTGAGATCATCCTGAGACATGCATGTCCATGCTATGTTCAAATGAATTAGACTGGAAAAAGAAGATAACTGTTAGTGCCTACAGCTTTATGAAAATGTCAGTATGGAGGGAGAGGCAGAGGGAGACGATGCTGGATAGTTTGACATAATGGTATGTAGGACCGTCTGCATCAGACTGACTGACAGTACATGAAACAGAAGGTTGTGGATAGACATGACTATTAATTAATGCCACACAACATGCACTTTAAGATTCAGGTAAAATAAAACAAAGCAGCAAAAGTTTGAAACACTATCAATATCAAATGTGGGTTAGAGATACTGGAAAAGTACTGGGTGTGAATCTTGTTTAGAAAAAAAAAAAAAAAAAAGAAAGAAAAAAATGTCTTCTTCTTATGCCCCTTATCCCCTCGCAGAGCACACACCTTTGACCAACTCAGTCTAAGTCGTTCTAGCTTTTGTGAACACATGCAGCTAACCCCAGGTTCTCCTCATATTTATAAATTCACTCTTTAGATTCCTTCTTCATTTGTTTTTGGTGTCTGCCCTTACTTCTATGCTAATTTTATGTAAAGACAATCAAGCTATATTGTTGTTCTCAGGTTTTCTCAACAAGTATCCTATCCAACACATATATATCCAGTCATCTCCTTGCGAGATGCAATTTTTCGTTATCTTGAAGCCCCACCCTGGCTCTTGACAGGGCCATAAATATAGCCTCATGGCTAAACGCAGTTTCTGGGACCTCTACGTGGTGATCCTCATCCCCATGGTGGCACTTTGTGTCATCGGGTGTTTATCGCTTGTGTGATGTCCTAGTGGGGTAAAATGTACTACTAGTACTACCTATCCAACATTACTATCCCCTCTTCACTCATTGGAATTTGTTTAGTTTCACATTCATGATTCTATTATACCACTGAGTTCCCTCTCTTCTGCGCGAACACCAGTTAATAAAGGTTTATAGATTATTAGCAACTGTTTCAGGTGCTTTCCATGTTTCAGCCCCATACAACAGTACTGATTTGACATTAACGCTAAATATTTCATTCTTCTTCTTTATATCCATCTTTTTTTTTTACCTTCTGGAACACAGGACCTCCACCGACTCATGCCAAGCCCCAGCATTGTTTGGTCAACTGCTCTAGCCGATTGCACTATAAAATAGCCTGAAGGTATGGAAAAAAAACTCCTTCACTAAACTTGCTCTAGCACATTCTGTGTCCCCACATTATCTGTCAACCTGCAATTCACATCTTGTGTTGTTTAATTACTCTTTATTTCTGCACCATGTGAGTTAGAAAGAAATGAAATCTTTACACTAAAGTAAAACCTTGCTAACACAAAGTTGCTTAAGGGTGAGTATGTAGAAAATGGTCCCAGCAAGATGTGTATACTCAATTAACTTACTATGCAAATTATTTTTACTTAAACTCTTGATTATTCATTTTTCTTTTAAATGCATGTCAATGTTTTACTTTATTTTCAGATTTTCTTGACACGTGTCAACTAGTGCTGATGTCTTTTACTCACCTGATTAACGGTATAAGAGGAAATATGATGATGATGACGACGATGGATGCAATTAGTGTAAACACTCCTGACTCACCTAGTACAGTTCTCAAATATATAGCCAAGACCTTTGGAGGTTACCCCTTCGCACATACACAGGTTGAGCGTCTCCAGGTTAGGGCTGCTGAATGCCAGGTTTCTGATACATTGAGAGAAGTATGGAAATAAGTAGAAATAGAAGATGAAAACAGATGTCATAGTATGACAAAAACAAAAAACAACTGACAAAGGGGCTAATATAGCCTAATGATTAAATGGGGTTTCTGGGACCCGTGCCTAGGTAATTCTCATCTGAATGGAGGCAATTTGTGTCATTGGATGTTTATCACTCGTTGTGCGGTCCTGGTGGGTTAAAGATCAGTCAGGCAATCGTGCCTGCAGTTCACAAACGATCAGTTTAAATGACCAAATGCAATAACAGAAACTGCAAAAAAGCCTGGCTGCCAAAAATCATATGAAATTCTCCTTTCTTTATTGATTTCCAGGTTACAGCTGGTAAAATTCTAGGATTTTCATAGGATTTCATTTTAAAATTTAAGTTTCTTTCAAGGTCTTGAAAGGGAGTTGTGGTACCAGGATTTTTCCAGGTTTGAAGGTCCACTATGAACCCTGTTTCATGAATACCAGATGAGCGTGCTGGCTGGCACTGGAACTTTTTGAACTGGTTATATCTCTATAGACCGCTGCGGATGTGAAGTTTCAACAGCAGCCTTGCATACCCAACTGAGTATTTAGCCTGAAGGAAGGATAGACAGCTCCAAACCACAGTCCCCACATAGAGGGCACTTTGTACCAGCTCAGAAGGAAAGTCCCTATTCCAGCTTCAAAAGCAAGCATTTTGTAGGGTGATCAAAAGTTCTAAATATAATGAGATTTCAGATTAGGAGTTAATCTTTTCACCCCAAGGATGCTGAAAATAAAATTAAAAAGTGATGAACCTGTAGGAATTCCTAGAAAAATTATTTAAATAAGAACCATTTTACACCGGTCACTAATAAAAAATAGAATGAAGCATTAAATGGAATAAATTCACTGGGAATAAAACACAATTTGTATCGGGTGACTTGTGCCGTGAACTTGATCATTAAGGCTTATGGGCAAATTTGACTCAACTTAGTTTTAAAAAAGCCATTGGGGTTATAGAACACCCCCCCCCCCTTTTTTTTTCACATCCGGGCCTCCCAAACACAAATAACAGATGGCATTTCACTACGTTTTACATAAACGGATCACTGCAGAAATGGCCACACAGTGGCATTTATGGGGCTGTGTCATCAGCAGAAATGACAAGATTTAGCCTCCTCGGGGTGAAACAGTTAAAACTCACTCTTCTGGAACAGAAGTTCCAAATGAGCTAAGACCCACTGACTCTTTCTGAAGGTCTGCCACGGATCCCAAAATGTTAAAATTATAGTAAAGAATTCATTTTAATTTAAACAGTACTAATATAGCTAAAAGGATTGCACCCTAAAGACGAACATTTCTTGTGTGTAAATCTGGTAATCTGAGTTTCAGCTTCATAGCAAATGGGTCCCCCATAGTTGCTCCGCTCCTGTGCCAATAAAAACACACAGAATGTTTATCACTGTCCCTTGTGGAAAGATTGACACACTGTTGTCTTAGCATATGCACTAGCATACACACGCATTAAAAGCATACGGTAGCCATCCGAAGTGCTAACACAAACAGTTTGACATTAGAAATGCAGTTCATCATGGATGGTAGCAGAAGTCACCAACAGATCAGCAGTTGCAAACGCGACCAATTTTGTGTAAATGATACTATGGACTCCTTACAACATAAATTTGAGAGGACAGCAATGATAAAGCAACACTTACAGAAGCAGCTGCTCAGAGACCGGAATGTTCTCCAGACTTATCTTGCACAGTTTAGGGCAGAACTGGAGCATGGACTCCAGAAGGCTTGTCCTTACATTGGCCATGCTCATGTCCAGCAGACGCAGCTGGTACATTCTGTGAATAGTGATACCATTTTCAGTTTCAAATGATGCAGTAAAGTAAGCTATTCTAAAAATAAAAACACTCAGCCCCATGTTCTAGAGTTCCATTTGTGATAAAACAAAACAAGACCCACTGCCCCTAAATGTGCATGTTGACTACGAGGGGCTTCTGATGAAACAAGACAAGACCCACTGCCCCTAAATGTGCATGTTGACTACGAGGGGCTTCTGATGAAACAAGACAAGACCCACTGCCCCTAAATGTGCATGTTGACTACGAGGGGCTTCTGATGAAACAAAACAAGACCCACTGCCCTGAATGTGCATGTTGACTACGAGGGGCTTCTGATGAAAATATCAAAAGTGTGTAATAAATTAACTAATAATAAACATGCCACTGTCTTGTAAAATGTCAATAGTGTTGTTAAGGATGTCAATAGTGTTAAGCACATGACATCCTGCCACCCCATTTCTGAAAGAAAAGTGGTTGAGCCTCATTATGTAATATTTACAAAGACAATCTTTGCAGCGAACTTCCCCTGTCGAATCACAATTTGTTAATAAAACTATCAGAGCTAGGTGGTACTCGGTTTCTTCTTCTTCATCATTCGGCCAAGTGATGTAAGGCACTGTGCCTGTTTACAGCATATCTGCAATATATGTGCTTTTTGGCTGACAGATTTATTTTCATTAGGCCTTTGTTTGCCATTGAGATCAACGGAGCAGCCCACAGGTCCGGATCTTAATGACCCCACAAACTGGCATAATCTTCTTTAGCACATTAGACACTTTTAATGTTGTTGCATAGGGACACTTAGCACGACAGTATAAGAAAAGCATACATCAAGCATGGCTTTCCCCACTGGTCCGGACACTCTGACAAGTGGCATCAATGGTAACAGGCATTTGAAACTTTCTGCCAAACAGTAGGACATTAGACAGTCGGACGGACATCCATCCCAACACTGAGATGCGTGGGGCCAATGGTAGCGGACATCTGAAGCTCGCCTGTCACACAGTGAGATATTTGATGGTCGGCCATCATAAACTTTTTGGTTATTCCACAGGACCAAACCATGAGATACCGCTCGCAGGAGATACTGGTCTAAGCTGCGAACAAATCTCCTGGTCTTGGGCTGAGTCTCAACAGTTCGCAGTGAGGTGGCTACTCTGCTGATTATGATGCAGTGTCACCTGTCTGATGGTTGTCTGAGGCTTATCAGCAATTTAGTAGGACTTTCGAACCACAGACATTTGAACTGAGGTATGTCATATAGTACGATATTCAGCCAGGGTGCTTTACTCATTTTCCAAACGAGTTTTTAATTAACATTATCATCCAAGGAAATAAGGAGAGCAAAAGGATTTCTGGACTCTGCATATCTAGATCTGCTGCCAGCTCGGATATGAGACATTATCTGTAGTGCACAACAATGACATGTGATAGGAGTCTTGCATAAGGGTCCATAAATCTAGCAGAGAGCCTGCTGGTACCTAGGATGAGGTATAGAGTATCTCATTATACACCTTAACTTTCCCTCACGCCTGTGACCAAAGTCCCTGTGCTACGTACTCACTGCTTCAAATAAACGAATCCACCAGTAAACACCTCTGTCTTAGTTGTGACAAAATTATCATCACGTGTCATGTAACATTTTTCAATTCATTCACACTGTCTCTCATACTCTCAGTTGCTCATTTATTTCTATTCTGCGTATTGCCCTTTCTTCCTCACTTTTTCTTCGCATTCACTGGTTGTAAACTCTGGCAGAAATGTATGGATATTCGTCCACCTCTAGACTTAAATCTTGTTCTAGAACCTAAGTGTTGCGTTCACATCCATTTTACACATTTGACTTATTAGTATGCAAACTGAAGGTTAGGGCCGCATTAGCGCAGTCGATAGGAGGTCGCTACAGTTTCTTATCAGCTTTCTGTACTGGTGGCAGAGCACTTATGGTTTATAACAATGTGCAATGATGTTGGTTCACATCTCCCCGACTTCTAAGCTGTTTCCTTGCCTCAGGCAGATGAACACAGACTTCGAAAGGAAACCCCCAGTTGGTTGACTCTTACAACATGCCTGTTGGGGAGGCGGTGGGTCTATTCTTGTTTTCCCCACAGGGGGCCCCGGAACCCACACAGGGATCTCTTTCACTGTTTCTTGGTTTTATTGCTTCTCCATTTCTTGTGGATATTCTGTTCAGGATGGACTTATGAGGGAAGAACACGCATACTTTTTGGGCTACAATGTGATAGCTACAGGAACACTTATACAAGGGAGAGACATTTGAACCTAAATTTGTCATTTAGTAGGAACTCCACCAGCAGGCTTCACTAATGTTCCCGATCCACCAACTCTAAATTCTTCTGCCAGTTTGGATCAGGCCGTTATCCATGGTGAATGATGAGGTTGTGTGGCAGGAGTCTTGCAAGAGGATCACTCAAACCAGTACAGTGCATGTTAGTGCCAGAGATGAGGTACAGAGTATGTCCTTATACACATCACAACATCCTCAACTTTCCCATACTCCTGTGACCGAATCAACACACCACTTTTATTTTTTTTTTGTCTTTCACATGCCATAAACAATATAATAATGTCCCTACCTGTCTTCTGAAAGGGGAGATCGACTCGGATCTGGTGTCCCATGCACTGTGCTAGAGAAATTCCCAAGTATCTACAACCGAAATATTTTCAATTATTTCAACAGCCTGAATGCTTCACAAATTACCATAAGCTCTCATGATACAATTTTGATTACAGAAGTAATGCAGGTCAGTATCAATTGGTGACTATTTTAAACACAGTCAATACCAAATGATGACTATTTTAAACAGTCAATACCAAATGATGACTATTTTAAACACAGTCAATACCAAATGATGACTATTTTAAACACAGTCAATACCAAATGATGACTATTTTAAACACATTCAATACCAAATGATGACTATTTTAAACACAGTCAATTCCAAATGATGACTTTTTTAACACAGTCAATACCAAATGATGACTATTTTAAACACAGTCAATACCAAATGATGACTATTTTAAACACAGTCAATACCAAATGATGACTAATTTAAACACAGTCAATACCAAATGATGACTATTTTAAACGCAGTAAGTACCAAATGGTGACTATATTTTAAACAAAATCAGTACAAAACGGAGACTAAATTTTACAGTCAGTACCAAACGGTGACTAAATTTTAAACAGTCAGTACCAAATGGTGACTATATTTTAAACAGTCAGTACCAAATGTTGACTATATTTTAAACAGTCAGTACCAAATGTTGACTATTTTAAACAGTCAGTACCAGATGGTGACTTTATTTTAAACATAGTCAGTACCAAATGGTGACTATATTTTGAACATAGTACAAAATGGTGACTATATTTTAAACATAGCCAGTACGAAATGGTTACTATACTTAAAGAGTCAAATAGCCATCATTAAATGTCAAAATGGTTTGGAGACAACGGTAATGGAAGGCAGTTTCTGCAAGAAAAGGCGGGTATCACAAGCACGGCAGTGGACACAAGATATCAAGGACACCCTGAGCATAAATGTTAATGAGGCCGGAAACAAACATGGCAGGGGACTGTATGGAATTCTGAAAAGCCATCATGAGAGTGACATTAAACAAAACAAAAAAGTTTCATTCGTACAGCCACATAAGGGGCCCAGTGTGAGGACAACAAAAAATAGACCCGCTGCCTCCCACAAAAAAAAAAAAAAAAGCATTTCGCAAGAGTCGACTAACGGGGGGTGGGGGGATTTTTTCAAAGATGGAGTGCATCTGCCTAAGAGGCATGGAACCAACAATCTGCATACAAATAAGTCGGATCTGTAAAACAGATGTGCACACAACACTAAGGTTCTGGAACAAGACTACAGTCCAGAAGTGGACAAGCAGCCAGAACTTTCCGCTGGAGTCTACAGCCTGAAGAAGATATCAAATTAATTCATAATGATAGTTTAAAATTAGACAAGAAAGACAAACTTGTTAACATAAATTTATTTGTTAACATACCTCTGTCCTAGTTAGTCTCAGAACTTCAACCCCTCTCTCCAGTAAAATTTTCAACACCCCTTCTTTGATGAGACGATTTCCTAGATTCAGCCTCTTCCACAAGGATCTATCACAGCTGCGAAAATCAATTTCACGATGAAATTTGTGACGTGACAATTAGAACAGCAAATTAAACTACACAACAGCACAACATAAAGTACAAGAAGAATGATATTTTTTTAAAAGCAATTCTGGTTATTTGTGCGGTGTGTTGGCCCTCAGATAAGTGGTTAGCATGTTGTGTTGTAGTTTACAGCTAGGCAGAGATATCTGCACCTTTGGACCCAACACATCCGATTTCAGCAAATTCCTCATTAGTCAAATTAAACAACATTCTTGTTAAGAAGTCCCCCCCCCCCCCCCCCCCAAATGGCCATGGAGCAAACACAGGGAATTAAAAAGCAACAAGACTAAACATAAATGCCTCCACAGTTATACTGTAGATAAACTACACAACAGAAGGAGACATGTGACATTAGAAAACACATCAAGCTTGTAAAGGATAGGAAAGCTGCTGGTCCAAAGGGTACCACAGCAGAAGGTACTAAAGCCAATGTAAAATGATTTACTGAAGATTATTCAGCAGAGACTGGAAGACTGAAATACCTGCAGACTGAAGAGGAGGACATCTAGAAGAGGCTACAAAAGGAAAGCATAAACCAAAACAAGAAGAATCATACTGTCATGTACTTTGAGAATTTTAAGCGTGATCATTTTGAGCTGCGAGGAACCAGCAGCCTGCATTTAAAAAGGCCAGATCTGTAAAACAAATGTGGATGCAAAATTCAGGTTCTCAAAATTCAAGTCCAGAACATTTCACCAGAGTTTACAGCCGATGAATGCAACTAAATTTACTTTATGTTATTTAGAATGTTTATAAGCAAATAAATACCAAAAACATCAAATTAGCTCTGGTTGTATGTGTGTATATATACGTAATATAAAATGAGTTTTACACTTTAATTTTTTTATTTAAAACATATACTAAACTGTAACAAACATTTAATAAGCACTAATTTTAGCGCAATCATTTGTGTGTGTGCAGATGCGGCAAGAGAAAGACAGAAAAGTAGAACCTGAAAAACAATCTGAAAACAAAACCACAATATAGCGACTTACACTATACGTGCCCATCTCCTGCAGACTAATGCACACTTATTCAACATGTGACGAGGTAGAAAATGAAAGATTTGGAGAATAATTTCATCTGAAATGCGCTCAAAGCTATCTGTGGACAATGAAAGACATTTATAAACAAAAGAACTCAACACAAAGGTCAAAAACAAAACAGATATGTTATTAACCTTAAATTTGAAAGTGAGGGGCAGACAAAGTGCATGGCGGTATATAGCTAAAGCAAACAGACGTCGCTTAGAGCAACAAAGTCTGGCATATGATTTCACAATGTCACAAATTTGAGAATGGAGGTGGAGGCTGTCACTGCTGCATTTCACTGGCTTGAGAATCAGCTGTACCCACATGCCCTGATTGTTACTGACTCACAGAGCATGCTGAGAAAGGTGGAGACGGGCATGCTCCGTGCGCTCAGGGTAGTTAGCTCTTTTTAGATATTTTTTCCAGGTGATGCCGGCATGTTAAGAAATGAGCAGGCAGAGAGACTGGCCGGTTCTGCACTACTTAGTGGTGAACTGATGTATGACAAGCTAGATGTTGTGAAGGCCCTTTGGGAGCGAGTAAACAGTGAGGGGCACAAATAGATCATTACGGTCTGAGGAGAATGTTGCTAGTGAGTTACCAGGGGATCTGGCCAATGCTCGACACTCAGGGAAAGTTGAGACAGATATACAATCAGAAAGTTACTGGTACCATCGGAATTGGAACTCTATGCTGGCTGCTGAAGATGGGGACGGAGAGCTTATGGGAGTGTCCCGTGTGCTGTGATGTCAATTCTTAACTTAACATTCAGACCGCTCTGAGTCGGTATGAGCAATGGTATGGAGAGGCAATCACCTAGAAAGAAATGGCATACCAATTGTAGTGAATCTCATTTTCTCCTAGATAAATTATGCCTAGATAGAATGACGTCAGTAATAAATGTGAGTGGAATATTTTGAGTCTAACTGGGACAACATGGGAATTACTGATAGTCTAACTTCACGGGAATTGTAGAGAAATGTTGATAGTCAAACTTCGCGTGAATTATAATTATTCACGTGTAGAGAAATGCTGACAGTCAAACTTCATGTGAAGTATGATTATTCACGGGGGTCACACAAACTGCCGGCCAAATGGAATTCGTGGGAATGAAGGAACTTGGAGAATTCGGGAGTACGAAGAGGGGCATTAGAAGGCTATATAATGCCGTAGAAAGGGCTGGGAGTCAGTCTCATTTGGGCCCAGGAACGGAGTGCATAGACAACGGTGGAAGATGTGTGGATCCAACATGTGTTTGAGAGTGAGTGTTGTTCCAACGTCCAACTTGGCAAAACAAGCCAGCAGCCAAGATGTCTGCCGGCCGTGTTAGCTTTCTGTCAGGACAGCTGTTGTGTTTTCATTCATTATGCTTGTGGTAGGACGATAGTGATTTCGGCTAAAAGGTAACACTGATACTTTTGATATTTGAGTTATAATGTGTGCCTGGACAGTAGTCTATTTCATGTGCCGGCTGAGGAAGCCGCGAGTTTACACGTTCAGAAGTTTGCAGCGGATTTCTCTTATTTTTTAAAACTGTGCGCTCATAGTATCATCAAAGTCAATACTAACACGTCTGCTACCAAATTTCCCACAAATGAATTTCAACCCTGGTGTGTCAGGATTGTGAAATGACATTCAAGACCCCAAAGCCACAGATGCCGAGATTTCATCATCATCATGTAGCAGGTCCTTTGCAGAATGTCGCTCTCATCACAGTCTGCCTGTTTGAAACTCGGTCTCTTGCCAGTTCTCCCGCCTCATGAACTTTCACACTCAAGAAGTCACTTATATCCTGTGCCCATCTTCGTGTCGATCGGCCCCTGCCCCTCCTTCCTGGTACCATGCCTTCTGCTATAATTTTTTCCAATCCATCGTGGCGCTTGATATGGCCAAAATATTTCAGCTTTCGAGAAAGGATGCTGTTTATTAGCCAATCTTCCTCGATGTTCAGATCTTTTAAGATGTCAATATTTCTCATCTTCTTTGTCCAAGATATTCTGAGAATGTTTCTATAGCATTTCAGCTCAAAAGCCCCAATTCTCTTTCTTAAGGACTGAGAGATAGTCCACGACTCACATCCGTATGTAGCCACAGGGAAGATGCATGCTCTCAAAATTCTAATTTTTATCTCCTTGCTGGTACTTAACCAGACTTTTAAGGCTGTTCAATCTTTGCATTGCTATGGCCATCCTCCTTTAAATTTATGTCGAACAGCCTCCATTGTTGTTTATTCCCATATCCACCACCACCCCCCCCCATCAAAAAAAAAAAAAAAAACAAAAAAAAAAAACCCCCAAACAAAACTACCAAAACACGAGTTGTTCACCGTCAACCTTCCTCAGCCTAAAAACTGGTGTTCTTGGTCGGAGGGAGTGCGAACAGCTGTAGGTACGTCCGCTGCCCTGACTGACATGTTTTCCTGACGCGATTGGCTACGCATTAATTGTGGTTGACTAGCGGATACGTGGAGCCTGTAGATGTATGTTCAAACTTAGTTTTTTTTTTTTTTTTTTCATGCATCAAGCAACTCGCATAATGACAACAATATGGTATATGTGTCTAGTGACAACAATATGGTATTATGTGTCTAGTGACAACAATGGGGTGTTATGTGTCAAGTGACAACAATGGGGCTATTATGTAACTAGTGACAACAATGGGGGTATTACGTAACTAGTGACAACAATGTGGTGTTACATGACTAGTGACAACAATGGGCTGTTATGTGTCACGTGATAACAATGGGGTGTTATGTGTAAAGTGACAACAATGGGGTATTATGTATCTAGTAACAACAATGGGGTGTTATGTATCCAGATACAACATTGGGGTGTTATGTGTCACGTGATAACAATGGGGGTTATTAGTTGTCCAGTGGAAACAATGGGGTATTATGTATCTAGTGACAACAATGGGAGTTGTGGGTTATGTATTTAGATACCACATTGGGGGTTATGTGTATAGTGACAACATTGGGGTGTGTATGTGTCTAGTGACAACAAAGGGGTGTATGTGTCAAGTGGACAACAATGGGGTATTATGGTATCTAGCAATGACAACACAATGGGCGTTTTATGTATCTAGATACAACAAGTGAGTTATTATGTGTTCTAGATGACAACATTGGGGTCGTTTAGTGTCAAGTGACAAAACAATGGGGTGTTATGTGTCTAATGAACAACAATGGGTGTTGTGTAATCATAGTGATCAATGGGGTGGTGTTATGTATAGATAAACATTGGGGCTGTTATGTGTCTAGTCGACAACCTTGGGGTGTTATGTGCTCCAGTGACAACAATGGGGTATTATGTATTAGTGCCAAAACAATGGGGTATTATGTATCTCGTGGACAAAAATGAGAGGTGTTATGTATCTACGGGAGACAACCATAGGGTGTAATGTATCTAGATGACAACAATGGGGTGTTATTGTTGTCCAGTGACCACACATGGGGTGATGTATGTAGTGAACAACAATTGGGGTGTTATGTATCTCGTGACAACAATGGGGTGTTATGTGTACTAGTGACAACAATTGTGTGGTATGTATGTGGAAGTGACAACAATGATGGTGTTATGTGGGCAAGTGACAACATGGGGGTGTTTATGTGTCTAATGACAACAATGGGGTGTTATTGTCTATTGACAACCATTGGTGTCTGATTTGGCAATGATGACAACAATGGGGTGTTATGTATTCTATGACAACCATGGGGTGGTTATGTGTCTAGTGACAACAATGTGGTATTATGTGGCAAGTGACAACAATGGGGTGTATGTTATGTATCTAGTGACAACATGATGGTATTATGTGTCTAGTGACAACATGGGGTGTTATGTGCTCCTCTAGTGACAAGAATGAGGGTATTATGTATCTCGTGACAACAAGGGGTATTATGTATCTAGTGACCAACAAGGGGTGTTATGTGCTAGTGAAAACATTGGGGGGTGTTTACATGCCTAGTCGACAAACAATGGGGTGTGGTGTTATTGTGTCTAGTGACAAACAATGGGGTGTTATGTGTCTCGTTGACAAACAATGGGGTGCTTGTTATGTGTCTAGTGACAACAATGGGGTGGGTTATGTGTCTAGTGGACATACAATGGGGTGTTTATGTGTCCAGTGCAAATGATAACAATGGGGTGTTATGTGTCAAGTGAACAACAATGGGGGGTATTATGTATCTAGTGAAAACAATAGGGTGTTATGTATACTAGGTACAACATTGGGGTGTTATGTGTCTAGTGAAAACATTGGGGCGGCGTATGTGTCTAGGGACAACATTTGGGTGTGATGTGGTCCTAGTGAACAACAATGGGGTGTTATGTCATCTAGTGACAACAATGGGGCTGTTATGTATCTAGTGACAACAATGGGGTGTTATTTGTCTAGTGACAACATTGGGATTATGTGGCAAGTGACAACACTGGGGATGTTATTTGGGCCAGGGAATACAATGGGGTAGTATGTGTACTAGTGACAAACAATTGTGGTATTATGTGGCAAAGTGACAAACAATGGGTTGTTATGTATCTCGTGACAAACAATGGGGTGTTATGATGCTCGTGACAACATTGTGGTATTATGTGGAAAGTGACAACAATGGGGTGTTATGTTATCTAGTGACAACAATGGGGTGTTATGTGTCTGGTGACAACATGGGGGGTGTTATGTATCTAGTGACAACAATGGGGTGTTATGTGTCTAGTGACAACATTGTGGTATTATGTGGCAAGTGACAACAATGGGGTGTTATGTATCTAGTGACAACAATGGGGTGTTATGTGTCTAGTGACAACAATGGGGTGTTATGTGTCTAGTGACAACAATGTGGTGTTATGTATCTAGTGACAACAATGGGGTGTTATGTGTCTAGTGACAACAATGGGGTGTTATGTATCTAGTGACAACAATGGGGTGTTATGTGTCTAGTGACAACAATGGGGTGTTATGTATCTAGTGACAACAATGGGGTGTTATGTGTCTAGTGACAACATTGTGGTATTATGTGGCAAGTGACAACAATGGGGTGTTATGTATCTAGTGACAACAATGGGGTGTTATGTATCTAGTGACAACAATGGGGTGTTATGTGTCTAGTGACAACAATGTGGTTATTATGATGGCAAGTGACAACAATGGGGTGTTATGTGTCTAGTGACAACAATGTGGTATTATGTGGCAAGTGACAACAATGGGGTGTTATGTATCTAGTGACAACAATGGGGTGTTATGTGTCTAGTGACAACATTGGGGTGTTATGTGTCCAGTGACAACAATGGGGTATTATGTATCTAGTGACAACAATGGAGTCTTGTGTGTCTGAGTTTGCTAGCAGAAGACCTCGGTGGTGCTTTTTTTTGGGTGTGGGGGGGGGGGGAGAGATTAACAATACGCATAACAGAAAATGAACGAATGAATTAACCATGAATTGACATCACAGCCCTTAGGACATTTCCACACATGCTCTTACCCCTTTCTAAAAAGTTGGCCATACTCATGGTATCAGCTGCAACCTGATTAAAAGTTTGTTTCTTGCTGACAAAAAGTCACCCATACCCTCTGCTCACTCCTATCAACCATTCTCTCCAGATTCATGCTTGTCTGTTCTGTTGCACTGTTTACTTGATCTATGAGCCTTCACTATGACTGTCTAATCATAAATCAGCTCACCACCAAGCATGGCAGCAGCAGCCATCTATCAGCCTGCTCATTACCAGACACCTGAATGCCCAGGCACAATATCTATCTGATCTAAGTCTCATCAAGCCATTATTAATTATTTGCCTTTTGGATTCACAACAACCATAGGCCATTAAAAATTTCCCACGATATCCTCACAACTTTCTATCTATACTTCCATTAACAATCTCACACGATATCCTCACAAATTTCTATCTATACTTCCATTAACAATCTCACACGATATCCTCACAACTTTCTATCTATACTTCCATTAACAATCTCACACGATATCCTCACAACTTTCTATCTATACTTCCATTAACAATCTCACACGATATCCTCACAACTTTCTTTCTATAATTCCATTTACAATTTTTCTAGGATATCCTCACAATTTTCCATCTATACTTCCATTAACACTCTCACAAGATATCCTCACAACTTTCTATCTATAATTCCATTAACATTCTCACACGATATCTTCACAACTATTTATAATTCCATTAACAATCTCACATGATATCCTCACAATTTTATAGCTATAATTCCATTAACAATCTCACATGATATCCTCACAATTTTCTGTCTATAATTCCTCCAATATTTTCTCATAGTCCCAAAGATGTGACATTAGTCATTCGCCTTCTAGCTTGTGTTATAACATTTTTACTCTTAATATTATCGAACTGTTCATGGTTTTATGAAGGTCTTCATAAATTTCTAAGACCTTGTGGAGTCCAGACTGTCTAGTACAGCGGTTCTCAACCATTTTGCGGGTCAAATGACCCTTTCACAGGGGTTGACAAAGACCATCGGAAAACACATATTTACTGGAGTTATGAAATAGCAACGAAAACAATTTTATGGTTGGGGGTCGTCACAACGTGAGAAACTGTATTAAAGGGTCGCAGCATTAGGCAGGTTGAGAATCACTGGTCTAGTATATATAGCCGGTATATGTATTACATGGTTTCCTTCCCGTGTCCAAAGGATCTCCTGTATGATGAACTGGTAATAGGGATAAGACCCATAGGAAGGCCAAAACTAGGCTTTAAGGATATATCTATGCAAACACGACCTGATGGATATTAACACTGGCGCATACACTTGAAAGAGATCAGCTGCAGACCAATTTAATTGAAGGTAAAAGATAGTGAAAGGCGGACTGTCGCAGTTTGAAAGAGGCCAAATGCAGCAAGCTAAAGAGGAAAGTCAGAGAAAACCAGCCTCAGTATGATACAGTAAGGTAAAAAAAAAGTAAAGGACCCAATTTCACCCCTCTAGGCGTAGAGGGCATATAGGGCTAGACCTATATTTTTATAGAAAAATCGGCACAAGATGCGTGATGTGGTCAGCATCACGCCGTCCACGTTTACTTCCCGGGACTGCACCCGGTACCCACTCAAGGCTGGGTCGACCAGTATGATACAGTATCAAAGTTTAAATGTTGACTATGTGTAAAAAACTGCCACTCCCGCACTTGATTTTACAGTCAAAGCTTTCCCCGTGTGGGTTCCGGGGCCCCATTGTGGGAAAAACAGGAATAGACCCACTGCCTACCCAAAAGCATGTCGTAAGAGTCGGCTAATTGGGGAGCTTCCTTTGAAGTCGGAGTACATCTGCCTGAGGGGCAAGGAACCAACAGTCTGTATTCAAGTGAATCAGATCTGTAAAACTGATGCACACGCAACACTCAAGTTCTGGAGTAGGACTGCAGTTCAGAAGTGGACGAACAGCCAGAACTTTCCGCCAGAGTTTACAGCTGGTGAACGCAAAGAAGAAGAAGAACAGTCAAAGCAGACTCTGTTTCCAAGGCCAGCGGCACAGTTTCATGGTCCCCAGGGACTGAGGGTTGCCTGCCCTCTTCCTGTATGGGTTCTGGGGTCCTAATGTGGGAAAACAAAAAAGAATAGACTCACTGCCTGCCTAACAAGCATGTCGTAATAGTTGACTAATAAGGGGTTTCTTCGAAGTTGGAGTGCCTCTGCCCAAGAGGTAAGGAACAACTCCATTCATCTTTGTGATTAGTCATCTCTTTTAAGATGGTGACTCAAAGTGTGATGGTCCGCCAGTAAATTATCTCTCCATCGTAATGCTACATGTCCAACAATCAACAAAAAGGGTCATTCTAAAACAAACAGAACATAAATACCCCTGGAGCCACTTGAGCACTGCCATCGTTCACAAACACTGCTGGGGTGACAAAGCTTTCATTCTCTTGACCATCCACATCAGCAGCCTTAGCAGTGGCCTGTGAGCTGGGACCTGCTGCGGCATCAACTTTATGAAACCTTTTCAAACTTGGTTCACCCTTGGGAGGTTGATTTTGCTCATTGGACGCAACATCTGGTTCCTCGCCTAACTCAAACCTGAACAGAAAGACAAACCAGATGAAGTGTTGAATGCTTGACAATCAGAACTGGTCAGTCAACATCAAATTATTTCCCCCTGTGTGGGTTCCTGAGCTACCAGGAAGTGGGTGGGGAGGGGGTTGGACTTACTAACTCCTAACTGGCAGGTAGTAAAAGTCAACTAATTAGGAGTGTTTTCTTTGAAGTTAGTATGCATCTGCATGAGTTAGGGAACCAACAGTCTGCATTCAGATAAGCCAGATCTGTAAAACAGATTTACATGCAAGTTCTAAAACTGACTAATGTCCAGAAGTGGGCAAACAACCAGAACTTTCCACCGAACATTACAGCCACAGTCAAAAGTGAGGAAATCAGAATTAAAGTTAGAGTGAGGACAATGGCAGAGCTATTTCATTAGAAAACAGCAGCTCTTGTGGCTGCAAAACCATGGTAAGTAAAGAACTATTTTGCAAAATGTTGTCCCTGTAAACCTAACACCCGCATTATTATTTTGTTTCCCCCACTAAATATAACAACATTAAACATTGTGACATTTTCAACAAAATATACATTCATTCCTCTTTTAAAAAATATATTCTTTACTTTTGTAGGGATTAGAAATATATTACATTCTCTATTGCCTTTAACTTACACCACCCCTTCCCGTCCTCTGAAATGTTTTGGAAAAGTAAAATTGGCTCTCCTCCGAACTTCTACCCCATATTATGGCAGCCAAACAAATTTCCTAACAGGGCCTCAGTCCTATGCAAAATGCGTACTTCCTGTCGAGGAACAAATTGCTGCAAAACTAGAATCGGCTCTGAATAACGAAACAAATGCTCTAACAGGGTCTCAGCGATTTGTTAATTGCGGACCTGTTTCTGCAACTATGCCGCACCGCCGACAGTATCCCCCGCGCCGCGGATGGGTGGCTAAACTATGGTTTTCATCTTCTGCAACTTCTAATTTATTTGCTTGTGAGTCCCCAGCCTCTAGTTTAGATCCCCATCCGCGTCGCTCTAGCGGCGCAGGGGATATTGTCGGCGGTAAGTTTAATCGCATTTTTCGTATGCCGAAAAGTGTGAGGACAACAACGACCCTAATCTATGTGGGAGCGCGTGGTCTCCCCGCCATGTCGCTATTATCGTCTGTAATGTTGACTGTCTCGAAATTGTCAATGGTCGCTATTATCGTCTGCTACTAACGTCTGCAGTTTCGTCTCTTGAAATGTCAAGTAATCCTAGTTTTGCCAAGATGTGTTCGTTGCAGGAAGTTCACATTTTACATACGAATGAGGCCCTGTTAGAGTATTTGTTTGGCCACCATAATATGGGGTAGAAGTACAGAGAGCCGAAAAAATTAATGCGCGCCATTACTGTAAAAAAAATTAATGGGCCTGGAAGAGTTAGGAGCATACTAATCATACTGTGATGAATAGCAAATTAGTCAATTATTTGTGAAATGCTCAAACAAATACTTTTAAAGAGAAATTCTTTAAGTAGAGAAAGGGGAACACTTGGTCCCTTTACAAAACTAGCAATTAGATGTATAGGGAACTACAGTTTCGAAGCGATCCCCCCGTTACCATAGAAACCGTTTGAAAGTTTGGTGGGTCATTAAAGTAAAGGGGCCCGAGTCTCTTGCTTCTTTCACCTATAAAGCACTCCTCCCATCCGTTTATACTTCACTTAAACACAGTGCATTATCTTAGCAAATTAAGTCCAATGGACATCCATTAGAACTGGGCAGTAGGTTGCGCAGTAAAAACACTTCTTTGTGGAAAAAAAAAAGAATAAAACTAAAACTAAAAGTAAGAAAGACATTTTTACCCCAACCAATCCTTAAGTCTTATCGGAAGTCATGAGGAGCTAAGATTAATCCAAACCACGTGTAATTTACACTAAAATCATGCACTCCTGAAAACATTGTCAATAAAACTATAAATTATGTTTCTATTGCAACAGTTGTTCGATGACTGACGCAACAAACTAAAGCAAGACAAAGCCAAAAGAGGGAGGACGAAGGCAATCGTCATCCGAGAATGTCTCTCGATTGTTGTCCTCAAGGTTACGAAAAACAAAGCCACCATGGCTTAATTCTAACTGCATTCAACGTATTAGGATAACCAATGCCAAAAGTACATTTCCGAAATGATATACCTTGCTCTCTTTTTAGAACTATTGTGTTTCTGAGGTTCTTTCGACGTTACACTCCGCTCCATCTTCGCTGTGCTTTGTAGTTTGCGCCAACTAGTCTCCTTCAAGGGGCGTTACTCCGATAATAACACTCCAGTAGAGAGCCTCCCAAACTGGTAGAGTACAAATCACATATCTGTCTTATATAAATAAGTACACGATATCTAAAATAACAAATATATACCTTGGGAATTCTATTAACTCTATACATCCCAATTGTAACCCTGATAGTTGAAAATTTTTGAAAAATTAAAACTACTCATCATCATCATCAGGTGCCTTGCCGACAGGCGTGGGCGACCATGCCTCTCCATAATCCGCGATCTCCTGCAGCATGTATCAGATCGTGTGCCGACACACCTCAATGCCATGCAACAAGACTGTCAAGCATCCTTTCCCGCCGTCCTCCACCATCCCTCCTTCCACAGATCTTTCCAGTGGTCACAACATGTTATATTTTCTCTCTTCTCATAACATGGCCGAAAAACGTTGACTGTCTCCTTCTGATGTCAGTGATAAGTTGTCTTCGGGCTCCCGCCTCTTTCAAAACCTCTTGGTTGCTCTTTTTGGCCGTCCAAGGCACTCCAAGCATTCTTCTGTAAAACCACATCTCTGAGGCCTCTAAAAATTGTTTGGCCTGTCTACCGATTGTCCAGGATTCACATCCATATGTTAAAACTGGATGTATGTAGCAAGCAAGAATTCTTTTTCTAACTCTCAATGACAAGGATATATTGCACAAGATGTTTTTCATTTTATAAAATGCAGTTTTTGCCTGTCCAATTCTGTTTCTTATTTCAGTTATGCATCTTCCATCTGATGTTATCCATGTGCCCAGATACTTAAATTTTTGTACTTGTCTTAAAATAACACCATTGACTTTTATTACACATTTAGGAATAATTTGTTTCTTTGATACCACCATTACTTCTGTCTTCCCATTATTCAAACTGGGGCCCATTCTTCCACTTTCTAACACCACAATGTCTATCATTTCCTGTAATTCTTTCTGACTTGTTGCTATCAAGACTGTGTCATCAGCATAACGTAAATTGTTTATATTGTGCCCACCAATCACGATTCCGGGCATATCAATTAAAGATCTCATAATATAAAACTATTACCCAACTGGTTCCTAGTATTAGCATGTCTGGGGTACGACAAGGGTAGTAAACTACCTCTATATTTTTTAGTCAAAAAGTCGTCCCCTTGTGAAATGCAATTTTTTATTATTTTGAAGCCCCACCCTGGCTTTTGCCGGGGGCCCTAAATATAGCCAGGCCATAAGTATGACCTAGCCATAGATATGGCCTAACGGCTGAAAGGGGTTTCTGGGACCTCTCCACGGGTGATCCTCATCCGCATGGTAGCACTTTGTATCACCGGGTGTTAATCGCTTGTGTGGTGTCATGGTGGGGTACATCTACCTACCTATACACACGCATATATGGATTAGATAATTAAGGGAGCAAACTCCCAGCGGATGGATTTTCTAAAAATTGATATTTGCTGACATGGCAACTATGAACCTCTTTTGACTACAGTAAAATGGCGAAAAATGCAATGATAGGGACATGTAATAAAATCTAACGGCCTCTCAAAAATAATACTGCAGGGCTCTGTAGAGGGAAAGAGGATTAGAGGCAGACTAAAAAAAAGACCTGGTTACAGAATCTGACTGACTGGACAGACCTCAGGCATGCAGCCATGAAGTCCATCGCAACTGACCGCTAAAGGTGGAGAGAACTGATCAGACAGTCAACAGAAGCTGGGGATCCAACGACACGCAGTGTTACGTGTTGATGATGCTATTTGCTGACCATCATGTATTTTTATACAAAGATAAGGATAAACCACACAATATAAACAGCGTCATATACCCGGCTCTCTAGCGTAGTTGGCTAAACCGGACTACGCGGTGACCAGGTGACGAACTCTTTGTGGTCCGGGTTCACTCCCGGGTAGTCAGAAAAGCCACATTTTTTTCCAGATTTACGGTACCTATCATGGAATCAAGGCCGAAAGGTTGCGATATCCATAGTACCGAGCCAAAGGGTTAATGACTCATGGTTTCTGAATATTAAAAAAAAAAAAAAACAGCGTCAAAGTGGTTGGATTATGTATGTGTGTGGGGGGGGGGGGGGGGGGGGGCGAGAGAGGGGGATAAGAAAAGACGAGTCACCAACGAAGAACTAAGAACAATATGAGGCATCATAGAATCAAATGGTTTGGTCATCTGGACTGAAAGGAACAAATTCAGCCAGCAGCTAGAGCGTACTACATGAGAACAGAAGGCTACAAGGAAAGAGGCTGGCAAAGAAAGAAATGGGACGAGTGAATAAAAGAACGACTACAGAAATGCAATATCATATTAACCCAAATTATGCAGTCGCTAAAGACATGAAACTATATCTAACTCCTCTGTAGCCACAAAAAGCTTCCAAACATAGAAAAGTATAAAATTTAAAAAAAAGGAAAAGAAAATGTAAAGTAATACATAGACAGTCAAGATGGAAAGTTGAAAAAAAAAAATCACACACACACACACACACACACACACACACACACACACACACACACACACACACACACACACAAGACATGTGGTGAGCTGCATTCGACATCACAGCATAGGAGCAGGGTCTTATTTAGTCATGTGTAATATGTACAGTTGCACAGGGCGACAAAATCTTGGGATGGCTAAATATAACTAGAAGTAGTAAAACGTTTTTATCATTATTTCTTTCAACATTTTAAGCGCATTAAATTCACGTTCTGACGATAAAATTGTTTGAAAATAGCGATGCTGACGTTTAGACGATGGAAGAGGTGCTAACACAAATGACTGATATGGCCGTCAAACATACTAAATACAGCCCTGGCTAGTATGATTTGGCTAAGGGCTCTCAGCTGGCTAGGAGTCAATGGTCCATTTGGGGATAAAGGGACGAGGAAGAAGCAGAAGAAAAAAAGGGGGGTGTCAATTATAAGAATCCATTACAGAGCAGATTTAAATCAGAGTGCTCCGGCCCAGTAGGAAAGTGTCTGTAAATAATATGTTACAGACCACCATTTGCATGAAGCTCTGGGTGCAGTTAAGGGTTAGCGGCTGATAAGGGGGGGGGGGGGGGTCATGGATGGCTCAGGCAGAAGACACGATCAGACAGGTTTGCATCCTTGAGAACATTAGGCGAGGAGAAGAGTGGGTCAAAGTGCCACCTGAACAGCCAGACTTGTGTAGAGTTATAATCACGCTGAGCCGGGAATGCAGAGATTGGCAAGCAGGTGCCACAGAGGTGGAAATACAGCGATTAATTCAAGATAATGCTCGCTCAGAGGATTTGATAATTTACACAGACGGTTCAGTGTCAAGAGGCAAAAGCAGTGCTTGCGGCTTCTTAGCAAAAGTTAATGGTCGACGTTTGGTGCAGGAGAGCCTAGCATATGATACCACAACATCCAGCTTAAGAATGGAGGTGGAGGCGGTCACTGCAGGGTTCTGCTGGCTAGAGAACACGACACACACACATCGTGATTGTAACTGATTCAGAAAGCATGCTGAGGAAGGTCAGCCAGGCATGCTTCGGGCAGAGTGGCATGCTTCGCTGCGGAGGACACGGGTGAGGAGATTTGTGTGGATTTTTTCACCCGGGAACGCCGGTGTGTGTGGAAATGAACAGGCGGACAGACTGGCTGGCTCTGCACAACTTGGTGGGATACTGATACATGATAAGGTAGACGTGGTTAGTGCCTTGTGGGAGAGCGTGTACAGTTCAGAGTAGCAGATGGAACACCACAGGTTGGTGAGATTGATTAAGCTGGGAGATACGAGAGGTTCTGGCAGATGCTCGAGGCTCAGAGGAAAGGCAAGACGGACGTTTAATCAGAATGCTAACGGAACTCTTCGCTGGCTGCTGAAGATGGGGACGTGGCGCTTATGGGAATGCCTCGAGTGCTGTGATGTCGGTTCTTGAATCAAATCAAATCTATCAAATCAAATCAAAATAATTTGTTAAACGTTTTAAATAAACGTATTCAAATCAAATCAGTTTTCTTGCGTGTTTTTAAAATTGCCGTTATTTATAGGGCTATTCTGTTTCTTTGTCGGTTGGGCACTTCTTTGGTTGTTTGTTTCTGTGCTATTGTTCTCAGTAAATGCCATTCGTTATCGTAAGATGCAGGTTTGTTTTGCGATTTGTATACTACACTATGAGTTCACAAACTAATTTCAGTATAATTCATTACAGTGCAGGCAAAAGATTCGACTCTCAAGGAAAGCAAGGGTCGCCATATAACATTTGCTTCCAGACAAAGAGAATTCCGCACAGAAGGCAACGATAAAATGCCGTGCTAACTGGGTCAATGGCAACTTGAAAGTCTGTCTATCTTTCCCCATTTCGTTGGATTTCATCTAGACCTGCTGCTTGCTGTGCCCAGAGAGGTAGCAGCCAATCCGTTAGCCCACTCACTCCATGCATCCCCTGCAAGTCCTAGGTTATTCTGCTCTGTCCACAATCAGTTTGTCTCTAGCACCGAGCCTATTTTATATATGTTTCTACAGTTTCGTTACATCACCCGCATATATTTTTGGACAGTCTTTCGCTTTTCAGTTGCGTTCTCCGTATACCGGCACGTCTTTATCTCCCTGATCTCCTCCTTCTGTCTCGGATCTCAGTCCATTAGCATGTCTTCATATGCTGTGGCGAGTGTCTGTCCCACACAGTTCTGACACGCTTTTCAAGTTCGACGCATTGGTGCTGAGGTTGTCACAGCTCTGAAAAGGATTTTGGGTTATCAGTTTGTGTTGAACCTCCCCCCCCCGACCCGCCCCCCCCCCCCCCCGTTTATAAGAATAAACTCATTGTCTCCTGGGATCCCATTGTTTTCACACCTTATTTAAGCCTATAATTAATTAATATTGCGAATTAATTAATTCATAATAGCATAATCGTAATAGTACGAATGTAAGTCTAATATTCACAACGCACAATATAAAATAATGAATTATTCTGCTCAATCTTATTTTAGAATATTAATTTACGTACAGCAACTAAAAGATCTTTATATGTGGTGTTCACTACTGTTAGTTCAATCCATATGGTATCACATTATTTATTGGGAACCATAATAAAATTAATAAAAATATACTGTTACGTTTCGGTAATTCTGCAAACCTTTCATGTAGACTGAACTATCATCAACACCATGGATTACTCTGTCACAAAATCGGGATACCACTGGCTGTATACCTTTGTCACCACTGTAAATTGCCACCGCTGTGTCTAAAACAAGTCTCACTTATAATGAAAGATGAGCTCCGACTTGGAGCAAGTTCTAGAGACATCTTCTCCGGGGTACCCAAGACGTCTGCTAGAAAACATGACTCGTCTCTGGAAGGAGAATGCTTTTTGTGACGTTACCTTGCTGATTGGAAGGAGGCGGTTCCAAGCGCACAAGAATGTACTAGCGGCATGTAGCCCATTTTTTAAAGCTATGTTTTTCTCTGGGATGGAAGAGCAAAGCAGAAGTGAAATTGAACTTCATGATATATCATCGGACGTTTTCAACATTATCATTTCCTTTATGTATACAGGTTTGTAGGTAGCAGTGACACAGTACTTTTTGTTCTTCCTATTTTTATTCTTTGATCTCTAGATGTTTGTTGAGGTAAGTGTTTATCCAGTCAATCATTAGTCGATCTCTTCTTCTTTGCGTTCACCAACGGTAAATTTTAGTGGAAAGTTCTGGTTGTTCATTCACTTTTTAAAGATTAGTCTGGTTTCACAACATGAGTTTCTCATGCACATCCATTTTACAGAACTGGCTTATTTATATGCAGACTGTTGGTTCCTCACCTCTCAGGCAAATTCACTTTGACCATCCCTAATTAGTCGACTCTTGCCACCTGCTTGTTAGGCGGCAGTGGGTCTACTCGCCCCCCCCCACCCATTTCAGCCTCCACGATTGGTTAAAATGTTTGTCTGTTTTCATTGCATTTCTACAAAGGTAGAACCATATTGACATATTGATGCAGTTGTTCATGTTGTACTTGATAACGTTTACCAATTGTAGATACAATTGCTACAGATTACAACAGCATATTGAAAGTGTTAAATATCCTATGTAATTACCAGGATAGCTAACTCACTCAATAAATGTTGGGAAGAAATTGGATGCGTCAGCCCTATTATGCAGATATATTAACCCTGATGCAAGCAGTGATATTTGCATCTTTCTTCTGCTTCTGCTTTGTGAAGTTTTGTATGCTCAGGTCAGACCATCAGGTGGGTTGTGTTCTATGGTGTCTGGGGGTAGGGACCGCATATCTGCCAAGTGTCTAGGGGCGAATGGTTAACGATTCACCCATATCTATATGAAAGTTCCCCAAGTCGACTGTCTGACAACTTATTGGGTTTCCTACCGGAGAGTGCTTACTTAACACAGTTACACATAGTCACATCATCCCACCGACACCTTTAACCGTCAACAACAACAAGTTAAAAGTCCTCTATGATCGTGCACCAGTCTATTTATTGAGACGAAACACAGTATGACGGTGAGGATGAATTGGTGATTACCCAACTACTGTCCATCTAATACCCCCCAGATACTCATTGATCTGCCTCCAAGGCGGTGTCACTGGTAGCCTTTCATAAACACTAAATAACCGCCAGTTTTACCTTGGCTGACTGGGAACCTGTAACTACTTAAGTTCCACAATATGCACACAGCAAATCAGCCACATCGAGGAATTCTACAATGACTGGCTGAACTCCCAAATCTGAGTCCTTCAGCACACAGCCGATAGCCGCCATCTACAAGGGTCACTCTTCGTAAGTAAAATCAGTTGTCTTGTTTCAGTAGTGAACGCCAACACGCGCCGTCATCAAGACAATTTTCTCACAAAAGAGCACACAGCTCAACTCTGCTCAACTTTCAATTCAGCTATCTATTTCCTCACAAAGGAGCACACAGCTCAACTCTGCTCAACTATCTATTTCCTCACAAAGGAGCACACAGCTCAACTCTGCTCAGCTATCTATTTCTTCACAAAGGAGCACACAGCTCAACTCTGCTCAACTATCTATTTCCTCACAAAGGAGCACACAGCTCAACTCTGCCCAACTATTTCCTCATAAAGGAGCACACAGCTCAACTCTGCTCAGCTATCTATTTCCTCACAAAGGAGCACACAGCTCAACTTTCTACTCAACCTATATCTCCGACTCTGCTCAAGTCTATACACTCAACTGGAGCATTCCTAATTATACACAAAATTCTACTGATCAATTGATGCTTTCACCAGAGTAACGTAATACACATGATTATGACTAAAAGTTACACACATCTCTACATATGTCCACACTATCTCAACGATTGAGTGACACTTACTGGACACAGGCTAACTTTCAGCTCCGCGACTAGTTACGCATGGGTCTTGCAAACCCCCTGAATCTGCTGTCACTCGCTAAACTCGAGAAACAATTGTCTTCAGTTTAACTGTGTGGACCTTTTGCACTCGCCTCTGCCATCATCATCTTCCAGCGCCTTTATGACGGGCATAGGTGATGACGCCTCTGACGCCTGGTATATTAAACAGCAAAGTGAGTTTAGCACACAACAGGTTGCCTCTATGAACTCTCATGTTAGCTGCACACTTTGCTCTTGAGGCCAGGTTTCATTTCAGAGTTGTAGGTAGAGTAGGCAGGTTTGCAGAATGTGCTCCGGTGTTTGTGGTCCTGTCTGACAGGCACATTGTGCGGACTAAAGTCTTTATCTTACGCATGTGATAACTGAGCCTGCAGTGTCCTGTTCATAGATGGGAAATTGTTCTATGTTGCGTCCGCAGATGGGGTCTTGTGAATGATGTATGTTTACTGATGGTTTGTTTTCTCCACAATTCCTTGTTATCTCCCTAGATAAATGTTCAGATTTTTGATAGTGACAATGAAGGGGTGTGTTGCATTTTAAAGGGGACACATCTCACTTTTACAGGCATGTCTGTTCCAGATTAGCCTTCCTGATGAGTTTGTGGGACATTCCACAGTCTCATTGTTAACATTATATTTACCTGATGTTTGCAGATGGCACCTAGCAGCAGGCCCGCCCAGAACAGATGACGAAGAAATTGTCTTCTTCATATTCCCCTGCTCTAAACTCCGAGTGTAAAGTCCTGATTGTTTATCTGCTTCTGAACTTTGACCTTGTTCCAGAACTTGAGTGTTGTGTGAACATCCATTTTACATATCTGGCCTATTTTTGTGCAGACTGTTAGTTTCTTGACTCTCCGGCAGATGTGGTCTGACTTTGAAGGAATTATTGATCCAGTCAGTATTGTCCCCCCCTCCAGTAAAGAATCTGTTCTTCTCTGATGACCGTGAAAAGGTGTAGATAGGTCTAGCAGTATGAGCCCTTTTCTCGGTGCACCACCACATGTGGTGTAGGGAAAACAAGAATAGACCCATCGCCTCTTCAACAAGCTTGTCGTAAGAATCAACTAATTGGAAGCTTCCTTCGAAGTCGAAGTACATCTGCCTGAGAGGGCAAGAAACCAACCGTCTGCATACAAATTAGTCAAATCTGTAAAATGGATGCGCATGCAACACTCAGGTTCTGGAACATGACTGCAGTCCAGAAGTGGATGAACAAACAGAACTTTCAGCCCGAGTTTACAGCTGGTGAATGTGAAGAAGAAGAAGAAGAAGCATCTTTGAATCTAAGAAAAAAATTATTTTTTCAAAATAAATGTTAATCTATTTAAATCATTTTATTGACGTCCATCAATATTCTAACTTGACAGGGCTTGTCAGAGTGGACATTAACACATGTCAAGATCTTCTCTCAGTGGCCGACATGCTTGGTGTGGATGACATTGTAGAGATCTGCAGCGAGTTCCTCTTAGAACACATGTCACCCCAGAACTGTGTAGGTATGTATTAGGTTTGTATTGTAAGTCTGTCTGACTGCCTTCCTATCTAACCATCCATTCATCAGATCAAGCACCTGTTGATCTATCTGTTCTTCCTTTTGTCTTTCCATCTGTCCATCCTACCCACTCGTCTGCCTACTTACCCATTGATTCGTCTATTTTATTTTTTAATAATTCATTAGAACGATTGACAATTTGATGCGCTTGAAAAATTTTACACTTACATCATCTAGTAAACGAAAAATTGTGACAACAGAGATGAAATGCTTTAGAAGAGCTGCAGAAGTTTCAAGGAAAGACAATATGAAATCACAAAATCATCAGTGAACCCTCCCCACCCCTTTATTTAAGTACAAGATGGAAGAGGAAGAAGAATAATAATTTTACATCGGTTGCTAGACATTGAGTAAGAGACATTTGAACTAACTGGCTAATTTTTGTAACATGAACACTATATTTTTTTTCTCGTTTTTGTCTTCCAGTTAATTAGTCTTTTGTTTCCTGTGTGGGTTCCGGGGTCCCATTGTGGGGAAAACAAGAATAGACACACTGCCTTCCCAACAAGCATGTCCCAAGAGAAGACTTATTCAGGACTTCCTTCAGAGTCAAAGTGCATCTGCTTGAGAGGCAAGGAACCATTAGTCTGCATACAAAGAAGCAAGATCTGTAAAACGAATGCACACGCAAAACTTAGATCCTGCAACAAAGCTGTAGTCCAGAAATGGACGAACAACCAGGTCTTTCCTTTGGGTTTACAGCCAATGAAGCAAACAAACAACTAGTCTTGTATTCAAGTCTTTCTAATTCTAATTAGTGTTAGTTGCATATCTTTTACAGGACTGTGAAAAGCAACCCCATCATTTATAGTCTGTTTATAGTTTCACTAGGTTATTTTATATTTAGTAGTTTGCCGTTGCTGCTAGATGGTCAATAGTCTATATCATTGTTGAAATTAATTTCAAGTAAAATGTAAACTGAAAGATCCGTTCCCATGTTATATGGCATATTGAGCAAAGGCTTAAGGCCCCGTAGTTTTAAAGACTAGTCCACACTCTCTTGGTGATGAGGTCGTTGTCATGACAGCTCCTAACCTCACAGTGCTCTTTTTAGGCTGAGTTGACCTGGGAACCTAGTCAGTTTGAAAAAAGCCACCAAAAACCAGCAAAAGTCTACCATATAATGGACACACCAGAGCAAGTCATTATTCTATTTGCAGCCACATGTACACGAAAATTGAGATTTGCAAATCAGCCATGTGTTGATGAGGATTAGCACCTGAGACAACAGATCACATCCTCCAAGACTGTCTCAAATACAACATATCAGGGCAAAACGTATAGCAAAAAGAAACATCCGTGCAAACCAAAATTTACGGGTTGCTGACCGAATTACAACAGACAGTGAAGTTCATACTAGAGACAACATTGCAGATATAGATAATCTATTTCAAGCGAACGAAATAAGAAGAAGTTTACAAAATGTCTGTCCAGTGAAAAATAAAACCTAGAAACAAACGTGCAGTACTCACCATAAAGTGTCTAAACAAAATGTATGCCCGTAATTGCCAGAATGTTTGTGTCACTGCAGCGCTAACAAACTGATGCTTAAAAAGAATTGCTGGTACTGTGTACTGTTGTGTACTGCCAGAAATAAATCTCAGGGTAGAGGAGTATATGTGTTCCAGTCACTCTAAGAGTTTGCTGGTGAAGACATGGGATCTCCTCTGATAGGTCAGAGAATAGGAACCAGACCTCTGCATGTGGGTCCTGATGCTCCATTGTGGGGTAAACAAGAATAGACCCACTGCCTCTCCAAAAAGCATGTTGTAGGAATCAACTAATTGGAGGCCTACTTCGACATTGCAGTATATCTGCCTGAGATGCAAGGAACCAACAGTCTGCATACAGATATGCTAGATCTGTAAAACATGTGTGCATCCAACACTCAGGTCTGGAACAAGACGAAAGTCCAGAGGTGGACAAACATCCAAAAAGTTTTGCCAAAGTTTACAGCTGGTGAGCACAAAGAAGAAAAAGAAGGAACCAGATAAAGAGAGACAAACGTGCTAACCTTGCTGATAAACTTTCAACTTATTTTTTTAATCGGCTGTAACCTCTGGCGGAAAGGTTTGGTTGTTTATCCACATCCGGAGCAAGACATACAATCAGGCTAAAATAAAGCTAGAGCCACTTTTGGAAGGATGAGGCAAATCTGGAAATCTAACAGTTACTGCAGAGGAACGAAACTCCGACTCTACAAGAGCATCATTTTGCAAGTTTTTCTTTATTGAGCAGAATGTTGGAGATGACCAGAAAGGATGTACACAAGTTATCAACCTTTCACCACACTTGTCTATGTAGAATAATCAACATTTTCTGGCCAGATACAATCTCAAACACTAAACTACTCCAAGTCACAAACCAAGAAACTCTAGACAGTATGATAACAAAGAGATGATAAAAATGGCTTGGCCACATCATGAGAATCAATCCTTATATACCTGTTAAAACAGCTCTGAACTTGACACCAGAGGGGAAAGAGAAAGAAGGGTGGCGTAAAAAACAACATGGAGATGAACGAATGAAGGTGACCTGAGTGCGGCATCTCTGACATAGAAAACTGCACTGAAGATTGCACAGGACAGGAAGGCATGGAAAGTCCTCTCTGAAAGCTCATGGGCCACTAGCCATAAAGGGAACTGATGATTGTTGGCTGGGAAAAGGGAGGGGGAGTGGGGGGTCTGTTCTTGTATTCCTGAAAGAAGGCCACAGAACCCACATGAGGAATGTCAAATGAAACAAAGTCTGTAACTGTGGGTGGTGCCCATGAAACAAAGTCTGTAACTGTGGGTGGTGCCCATGAAACAAAGTCTGTAACTGTGGGTGGTGCCCATGAAACAAAGTCTGTAACTGTGGGTGGTGGCCATGACAGGGATTTTAATTTGTTCATTTATGACCTTAATCTCAATTTCAGGTATTTACGTCTTTGCTGATGCCCATAATCTGGTCAGTGTAAAACAGCAGGCAGAACTCTACCTCGAGAAGAATTTCTTGCAGGCATGTAAAGAGGAGGAATTCCTGCAGCTGGATATAGATACCCTACTTCCCATCCTTGCTAGCGAGCGTCTTCACATTGAACGAGAAAGTCAGGTGAGAATGTGAGCCCTGTGGGACATATAATGGCAAAATAGGACAATAAATGAATGAATTAATTATTGTTTATATAAATGCATTTATACATAAATTTGCTGATTAATATTTATAATATTTTTTAATGTTTGAGTGCCATTTTATCTTTTTATTTTCCTTTCTGGGTTCCGGGGCCCTTTGGAGGGGGGGGGGGGGGGGGGGATGGGGGGAGAAAGAATAGGTCCACTGACAAGCATGTCATAAAATGCAACTTATTAGGGCTGAAAAGTGCAGATATCACAACCTAAGAGAAAGAATGATTAAAAGCTGTATATATCCTATCTTGATATTTGAAAGTGTATCATGGACAGTTGGTAGACTAGTGAAAAATTATTTGGAAGATGTGGTGAGAATACCCGACTGATAAAAAGAATAATGAAGACGTCTTGAAAGAAACTGACTCACAAAGAAAACTGATTGCCCACATCAGAAGGAGACAATCTTAATTCTTTGGTCATGTAATGAGAAGGAGAAAACTGGAGTACATCGTGACAATAGGAAAGTTGGAGGGGAGGAGAGGCAGAGGGAGACAGAGAGAACAGATGCTGGATAGTTTGACATCATGGCATGGAAGATCATCTGTGTCAGAGTTGACTGAAAATACACGAGACAGAAGGTTGTGGATAGACATGACTACCGCCACAGGGCATGGTCTTTAAGAAGAAGAAGAAGAAGTTGTATAGCATAATACAGTGAGCCGGCCGCCCTTTTGAGGGTGAATACGGAAGAAGACATGCCAGTAAGAATGGGCAGTCATGGCTTTCTATCTCTCAAAATCACACAAGCCTAATGACACCTCCGAATCGTCACTACATTCTCAAGCTGATTTCTCCTCAAATGTCCAACACATCTTGTTCATCTACATCTAACTTCTGTAACCAGTTTACTGTTTTTGTCTTGACTTTTTATTTGGGGGGGGGGGGGGGGGGTCTACCCGTTCGTTTGTATTTGTCTTTGTGTTTGATTTAAAACCAATTTAACAAATTGATTACATAATGAGACGGAGAAAACTGGAGTACATCGTGACTGTGGGAAGGTTAGAGGTGAAAGGAGGCAGAGGGAGATGGAGAGACAAGATCCTGGATAATTTAACATCCCAGCATGGAAGATGGTTTGTGTTGGAAATTATTGAAAGTGTATGAAACGAAATGTGGATAGAATATGACTTCCTCCTGTGGGTAATGGGGCCCCATTGTTGGGAAAGCAAGAATAGGCTCACTGCCTCATTAACAAGCATGTCATAGGAGTCGACTAATTTGGGACCGCCTTTGAAGTTGGAGTGCATCTGCCCAAGCGGCAAGAAACAACCTGCACACAAGCAAGTAAAATGAATGTACTCGCAAAACTCAGACCCTGGCACAAAGTCCAAATAAACAAACAACCAATACTTTCCGCCAGAGCTTACAGCCGGTGAACTAAGATGAAGAAGAAGAAGAAGAAGAATATGACTTCCAACTCTGCATAGCATGGACTATAAGTACAAAAAGAACAAGTAGAAGTAATCTTAAATTCCCCCTCTGTTTTAAATTTACCTGCTGATTTCTGCATATTTCTTTTAATGTCTCATTCCTTCACCATTCTTTTTCATCAACAGGTACTGGAGGCTGGTATAGAGTGGATAACAGCCGATCTCCCACTGCGGCGAAAATATCTGCTGCAGATATTAAGTCATATTAGAATGAATTTGATCTCTCAAAGACACCTCTTCCAGGTTATTGATTCATGTGCAGACCACGGCATTAAAATGACGCTGACAAAGTATGCTTCACCGACTGCAACTTCAAAAACTCTCAATCCACATGGCATGTATCTTCCAGCTTCGAATATCAACACGCCAATTTGGCCAAGACAGAATGCCAAGAAGTACATTTATGTTATTGGAGGTTACACCAGAAACAGGCACACATTTATGAGCAATATCAGCACTTTGGACAGTGTCGAAAGATTTGACATCTACACAAAAAAATGGCAGAGCTTCGCTGGCATGTATAACGCCCGTAGCAGCCATGGCCTGGCAGGAGGACAAGAACAACAAAACAGGCACTGAAATGGGAAACAGGTGGAATAAGGAAGTGAGAGTATCCAAGGGAAAACTGTAAGAGGAGTCTTGATGAGAGAGGCTGGAGGCGCCTGACAAGACTCAGTACATGATTTCAGAAAATCTGAACAAGATGTATTGGAATGGAGGAATAGACTATGAGCCTCTGTGATGAAGATAATGATGATTGATGAACCTTACTTACTTTATCATTGTGGCTTAAGTCTAATAATTTACAATAGGCTGACTGAGAGGAACCAACTGTCTGCATACAAATAACCTGGACCTGTAAAAGAAATGTGAACGAAAAACTCAGGTTTTGGAACAAGACCAAAGTCCAGAAGTGGATGAACAACAGGACATTCTGCCAAACTTTACAGCTGATGAACAATAAGAAGAAGTTTTACAATGTAGTAATGGTTGATTTTCACCTGTAAAAGTCTTTATTTTGTTTCAGTTATCCAATAGATAATAAAAATATGAATGCTTTTCTTCTCGCAGGTTTAATTTATGTGGTAGGAGGGCTCACAGAACTGTTCACAGAGTCGGACTGCGTGGAGAGTTACAATCCCGTGACGAAGGAATGGTGTCCCCTTGCAAAACTAAAGTACCCACGGGCTTATCATGGTCTGGCAGCTCATGATGGTTACTTATATGCTGTCGGGGGTTTCAATGAATTTAAAGGTTCCTTAAATTCTGTGGAAAAATATTCAATCAAGGATGTAAGTACAGGTTTAAACATTTTTTATAAGTATTTTGTTCATCTTCATTGCCTGATAAATGCCCCCTCAGATACGCCTACCTTCTACTCCAGAAGGTGGCAGACAACGTCGACCCCAGATCTTGCCTTCTCTACCCCAGATATATCTGGAATGATAAGTAGAGAGGTGGGAGACCAGCTTGGGGGCAGTGACCATCGCCCGATTTTTCTCACTATCCAGAATGTACCAGTTAATACAGGCCCAGTCATCACAAGATGGAACTACAAGAAAGCCAACTGGGGCCTGTACAGACACAGGACAAGCACATTGTTGTCTGCTCTCAAGGTACAAAATAGGGATATCAATGCTATAGTGCACGATTTCAATAGAAGTATTCTACAAGCTGCAAAAGAAGCAATCCCCAGAGGCTGTCGACACAACTATAGACCGTACTGGTCCAGCACACTCCAGGAATGCCAGGAAACAATGAATCAGGCTAGAAAGGATGCAGAATCCCAACCTTCACCTGACAACCACATCAAATGGAAAAAGGCTGTAGCAGTGTTCCAGAGAACTAAACTTGAAGAAAAACGGAAAAGCTGGAGAAATAAAACAGCAGCTCTAAACCTTGATAAAGATGGCAAGAAACTCTGGAGATTAGCCAAATCACTCAATGAAGAGAGTTTCTCGCCTAGACAAACAATCACGCTAAGTGATGGTGACAAAATCTTCAGAGGAAAACAAGCTGCAGATTTGTTTGCCAAAACATTCAGTGTTGAAAGCAACCTGACCCTTAATGAGGACCATCAGAGAGAAATAAGGAAAGAAATACAAACAAGCAAACAAACAAATAAGAGACAGACAGTTACTCCTGCCTCTATGAGGGAGCCATTTACCATGGGTGAACTACAAAATGCCATCTTTAGGCTTAAGTTAAAAAAGTCTGCAGGTCCAGATGAAATCAGCAACGAAATGCTAATCAACCTGAGCTCATCTGTTAAAGTAAAGCTGCTGGAAATTTTCAACATCAGCTGGGAGAAAGGTTTGGTGCCTCAAGTATGGAGAGAAGCCATCACAATACCAATTTTTAAAAAAATGAAAAATTAAGACCCAGGCTTCGAGCTATCGCCCAATTAGTCTCACAAGCTGTGTAGGAAAGACATTGGAAAGAATTGTAAATTCAAGACTGAAATGGCACTTAGAATCTGAGCAGATCTTGGTGCCAGAGCAGACTGTATTTAGGAAATGTCACAGCATAGAAGACCACGTCACCTACCTGTCACAAGCTGTAGAGAATGCCTTCCAAGAGAAGAAAAAGGTCCTGGCGGTATGGGTTGACTTCAAACAAGCTTTTGACAAAGTCTGGAAAGATGGTCTCATTGCAAAACTGAAGAGAAATGGAATCCAAGGAAACATGCTAAAATGGATCCAATCCTTCTTACACAGCAGAAGAACTAGAGTCAGTCTTGATGGCCAGCAGAGTAGAAAAGTGTTACTTCGGCAAGGAGTACCACAGGGAGGAGTTATCTCTCCAACTCTCTTTCTTGTGTATATAAATGATCTGGTGAAAGACCTCCCTACAGGAGTAAAAGCTGCCCTGTATGCAGATGATCTGGCACTCTGGTGTACCGATGAACACACCACAGTGGCAAATATAAGAATGCAGCGAGCAGCAGATCTCTTGATGACATGGGCAGAAAAATGGCATGTTGCCATCAACACAGACAAAACATCCACAACGCTTTTCTCTCTTTCCACCAGGGACAAAGCTGCTAGTATTCACCTAGGAACATCCTTGCTAAAGGAAGAAAGCTTTTCCCACTTATCTTGGAGTAACATTTGATAAAAGGCTCACATGGAGCAAACATATAGAAAATGTAGAAGGGAAGGCCAGGAGACGACTAGGCCTACTTAGAAAATTGGCAGGTACAGGATGGGGAGCAAATGGAAAAAACCCTAAAGAAAGTTTATAATGGAGCGATAAGACCCCACTTGGAGTTTGGTGCAACAGCATGGTCAACAGCTGCTAATTCCCACCTACAATCGTTAGACAGAGTGCAAAATCAAGCTCTTAGACTCATCACAGGATCCATGAAAACTGCACCAATCCTGAAGATGCAGAAAATAACTGCAATGCAGACATTGTCCTATAGAAGAGACACTAAAACTATGATCCAGATGGAGAAGTTTAATAGTATGCAGTCACACCCAATGAATAAAAGGTTAGATGATCTGGCATTAGGGCGTCTCAAACGTAGCAGCTTTGTCCATCGGGGGAAAAGACTTAGAAGACAGTACCAAGCTGATCTACCTATTAGAACAACACCGCTGAAACCTACCCTATACCCTGTACCTTGGGAGCAAGTCAGTGATACAATACAGATAATGACTTCAGTCAATGGATTCACAACTGGAGATGAGTCCAATGATCTTCAAAAACGAACAGCTGCTCTTAGCATGATTCATGAAAACTATCCCGAACAGTCATGGATACATATTTACACAGATGGATCAGCAACCAGCGCGGTTAAAAATGGGGGTGCTGGAGTCTTTATTACATACCCAGGCAACCCGCCACACAAAGTGGATACCCACTGGTAAATTCTGTTCCAACTACACAGCAGAGATTGTAGCACTAGAGCAGGCTGCCGAAATGTTACACAACACCAGTTCTGACTGCCACCAAGTGGTTATATTCACAGATGCGCTTTCAGTGCTTCAAGCCCTCAAGAGTGGCAAACTCCCTCACTTGAGATCTAAACTTGGCAAGGTGGCTGCCCAAAAGTGTACTGTACTCCAGTGGGTGCCATCCCACTGTGGTATACCAGGAAACGAAACCGCAGATAAACTTGCTAAAAAAGGGGCAGAATGTGACCAAGAAGAGAATGCAGTACATACTATGAGAAGAAAAGGGCCATCCAGGCTATCAGAAGTGAACAGAGTCTGGCCAGAGATGACTCCTACTTGACCGGCATGGGCAGGTCATTGTCCTACGTTCACAGGACTACTAACCAGCTGGCTTCCATCAGAATTGGAACTCTGTTGCTAGCTGCTGAAAATGAGGATGAGAGCACAAAGTTTATGACTAAAAAGAATGTCCTGAGTGCTTTGATGCCATTTCTTAGCTCGACACTGCTAAGCTAAACCTGTTTCTTCATTTGTTGACTCTGATGACTGCTGTTTGGTGCTGGTTGATGTAGCAGCTGTGAACTTTTGCATTTTTAACATCAGGCTGCTCCGATTGATATAAATAGACTTCACACACAAGAACCCGACTGAGCAAGGAGCTCCAAGCAACTAACAGAGTTATAGAGGAGAAAACAAATGCAAAGAAAGAAGCAACAAGACGCCATCAAGTACAGACACCCAAAGACCAGGGAACCAAGCCTACCAAATTGACGACAAGTCAAGTCCCAAACGAGGAAGAGATGACGTCCCTGACGACACAGGCCTGTACCAACAGTTCAAAGCAGCTCATTGCCTGGATTGAAAGGGTGAAAAACTCAAACACTACCTTCGACCAATATGAAGCTGAAGAGCCTGGTGACCGTGAACTGGAGAGACTGACTTTGACGGATCTGGTGGCCGAACAACATGAACGGTACAACCTAACTGGATAACCTGTATGGAGCGATGACCCGCCGCAGGAACCCAAGCAAATTAAACAAAACGAGAAGAAGTACCACCTGTTCTAAATCCTCGCCACCAGAACTGCAACACAGAGCGACCAGAAATCCAAACCATTGAAGATCCAATGAAAGAACAGAGCCAGACAGGCGATGTAGAAGAAGCATACAGAAAGAACACCAGATCTCACCCTAACCACTAAGCAGTGCCGTCCCAGGCAAAAAACTGAGAGCCCTTCTCAGGACTAGCAGACCCTCTCCCTGGACACAGCAACCAACCAGTCAACTGGAAACCCAAGCCAAGACAGAACCAGAAAATCCAGGAACCCGCCGGAGGCAGGGAAGCAGGAAAAAAGCGCGTACAGAAACCGAAACCCACCAACAGGAGACCAACCAGGTAGCCAATCAAAAACACTCAAACTGCCATGACAGCAGACCAGCCAGCTCACCCAGAATGCAGCTCAACCATGCAAGGCTTGCCAGGCACGAGGTTTTTTACCACAAATTTAACATAAGTGGATGGGAGTTCGGCCCACAGCGACTCTCCGCCCTAGTTGAATGTGGTCTCGGAGAACATTGAATTGAATTGACGAGGAAGACACAAACAATAGATTGCACAATTTATTGCCTGGCATATTTCGCTGTATCTCTTCAGGTCATTACTACAGTAACAAGTACATAATTGGAGCAAATAAGTGAATCTTTTATAACTGAAGTACAATTTCAACAACGATCAAACATGACTGCCTGTTTTAACCAGGGAAGCCATAAAGTCAGAACCATCTCTTTCTGTTTATGAGCCAGTTCTCCTCATTGTTCAGATCATGTAAAATGTAGGTGTTTTTCAGCTTCTTGGCCCTCGGTAGTCTAAGATTTGGCTATCCTCCGACAAACGGTCGGCAAAGATGGCGGCGGCAAAATATCCAGCCGAGCCGCGGTCACGGGTCATTGCGCACTTCCGGCTACTTAATTTGCAGTCTTCCTGCGGTTTTCCGCCAACAACCGCTACCGCCATGTGGCCCCCATGCCGCTTATGCGGCGTGGATTGGGGCTAAACTAGATGGCTAGGACTCATGAGCAGCAGCTTCCACATCTCCTGCAGCTTTGCTCGTGAGTCCTAGCCATCTAGTTTAGCCCCAATCCACGCCACATGAGTGGTTTGGGAGCCACGTGGCGGTAGCCATTGTCGCCGGAAAAGCGCACATGAAGTAGCCGGAAGCGCGCAATTGACCCGTGACACCAAGTGCCCAATGACCCGTGACCGCGGCTCGGCTGGATATTTTGCCGCCGCCATCTTTGCCGACTGTTTGTCGGAGGATAGCCTAAGATTTTTCTGTAGCATTTCAGTTCAAAAGCTCAGATATTTTGTTAAAGATTGAGTAAGAGGCATTGACTCACATCCATAAGTTGCCAGGGAAAAGATGCATGGTCCGGAATTTTTAATTGTAACTCGCTTGTAGGTGCCGTGCCTTCTTCATCCCTTTTAGCTGGTTAGCTTTGAGGTTTAAACAATGGATCAACATCATGGCGCTGGGTTGGTAACCCATAAGTGCTCCATTCTTCTTCTAACTCAAGTTTAAGTCTGAAGAAACTTGGCACAGTGCACAGGCTCTGTAGCACTGGTGAAGATTCTGAAAAATTTAGGGTAGATTATAAACTCCAAATTTAGCCTCAGCATTGCTAAAGCAAGCCTTTTTTTTTAACTTCTTTTGTGCAGTCGCCGTTGTTATTCACAGTTGGGCTAAATATTCAAAATCTGCTATCTCTCTCCCCCCCCCCCCCCCTTTACCTCCAAAGAATACCAAACAATTTTATGAATGTTCAGAGAACTGATGGGGAAACAAAGATGATGAGGAGAGAAAAATACAAACATTTACATCTCAGTGGCAGTAACTGCTCTGAGATTTCATCTTTTTTCACATTCCGAACTCTTACACCTTATTGTTGCAGGTATCACCCGCCTGCATTCAGCTGTTTTAATGACCTTTTTCCAGTTGGGGACTCTAAATGCTTGTTGATCTGCCTGAATATTCTCTCTCCATTGTCTTATTTTTTATCTCCCTATCATACTGTACCTTGTATGGACTTCGAGTTACTTTGTAACCATTGGGAGCTCTAATATAACCTTATGATTGAATAGGGTTTTTGGCATTAAAACCTAGGGCAATATCCAAATAGTGTTGCATTGCACTTTGTGTCACTGGATGTAACTCGCTGATTGTCTGGTACTCGTAGGGTTCAAATTCACTTATTCCACGCCCTGACTTCCATAAAATTTTTATCAGTGATTCTAATTGATTTTAAAAATTGTGTTTATTATTTTGGCCTGGAGAGAATGAGGCACCTGGATGTAACCAGAGGGTCTGGCCAGCTGACTACACTCAGAGGAAAGGCAAGACGGACATATAACCAGATCGTGACCGGTACCATCAGTATTGGAACTCTGCGTGGGCTGCTGAAGATGAGGATGGAGCACACATGGGAATGCCATGAGTGCTGTGTTGTTAATTCTTGACTTGATTCAACTCAACCCATACATTTTTGTTTGTTTGTTTGTTTAGAAACTAAGATGTTTTTGTCTCTCTATTATGTGCCATTCTTTCTGCATGCCCTATCCATTACAGTCGGTTAGCACTTATGATTCAGCTGCTCTGAGACTGTCAGGACATTGTTTAGCACTTATGATTCAGCTGCTCTGAGACTGTCAGGACATTGTTTAGCACTTATGAGTCAGCTGCTCTGAGACTGTCAGGACATTGTTTAGCACTTATGATTCAGCTGCTCTGAGACTGTCAGGACATTGTATCATCAGATTCAGCGCCACTGAAACTGAGTATTTGTTCACCTGGAAAATTTTTAATATCCACAGAACACGTGGACAAATGTTTCGCCAATGCAGATAAGTAGAGCCGGAGCTGGAGTCGCCTTGGCAGACAGCAAAATCTACGTCTTCGGTGGCAGATCGCAGGATGTGGAGCTGGCAGGGAGTAGCCGGTTCAATGCCTCGATTACCTTGGACAGTGTTGAATGTTATGACCCTGATAAAGATGTTTGGTGTAACCTGCCAAGCATGGCCTATGAGCGATGTGAGACAGTTGCGGTGGTGTTATGATGTGGCTCATACTGCTGCTTGATTCTGCTGGTGCTGAAAGCTCAGGGTTTTATTATCATCATCCTGAGTTAGTTGCTTACATACTGGGTTATATGTTGGCTAACTAACTGACAGGCTGCCCATATGAGTTTGAGGCCTCATTTGAGTTTAAGGCCCTATGTAAGTTTGAAGCCTCTTGTAAGTGTCAGGCCCCATTTGAGTTTGAGGCCCCAAGTAAGTTTGAGGCCATATCTGAGTGTGAGGCCTCATTTGAGTTTGAGGCCCCAAGTAAGTTTGAGGCCATATCTGAGTGTGAGACCCCATTTGAGTTTGAGGCCCCATCTAGTGTAAGGCCCCATTTGGGTTTGAGGCAACATTTGCTTGTAAAGGGGGGGGGGGGGGTGGGAGAGACAGAAACCACAATGCGCCAAGCATGATTGTAAGGCCGAGCACAGAAGATAAAAGAACTAGCAAACTAACTATGTTTACAGTCAGCCAAAAGCCACCAAGTAGCAAGGAAGAATATTAACCTGAGGTTAGACAAACACCAAGTGATGAAAGAAGAGCATCCCACATACCTTGGAGTCACACTTGACCCGCAGCTCAGCCTCAAGAACCATATTGAAAACATCAGGAATAAGGCATTGAGGCGGTTACAGTTATTAAAGAGACTTGCAGGTACATCATGGGGATCAGACAAGGAAACTCTGAGGGGCTTATACCTAGGATATGTTCGCTCTGTGATAGAGTACAACAACTCACTGCTTACAACTTGTTCCAAAACTAACCTAGAGACTCTTGACAGAGTACAAAATAATGCCCTCCGATTAATCTGCGGAGCTATGCAGTCTACACCAACTGCTGCATGTGAAATCCATACAAATGTGGAACCCCTCGGGTTGCGGAGAGAAAAAGCCACTTTAGAAATTTATGAAAGATGCGTTAGGAAAAATCGTAACCATCCTAATAGACATCTTGTAGAAAACTGGGAATCCAAACAAAGAATAAAGCACAAATCGGTTTTACACTGTGTAAATGAAATTCAGGACAGATACCACCTCCCAGAAAGACGTCAAGGAATTCAGAATGTTGCAAAAAACCTACCACCACATGCTCGCTTTAAAGCTCCAGAAGTCCAAACTAAATTGGTAGGCGAGGAAACCAAACAGTCCGACCCAATCGCTCTTATGAACTCATCACTAAAGACCGTTGATTCTTACCCCCAAGAATGGATACATGTCTATACTGATGGATCAGCATTTAAAGCTACCATTAAAGCAGGTTACGGAATCTACATAGGTTATCCCGATGGATCTGTTGAAGAGATTTTTGATGCATGCGGGAATTCTGTTCAAACTATGAAGCTGAAATAATTGCACTGGAAACAGCAGTATACCACTTAAAGACTGTAATGGATGTTTACCCCTCAAAGGTCCAAAAAAATGTCATCTTCACAGATTCAATGTCTGCCCTTCAAGCTCTGGAGGGCAATGAACGCTGCAGAACTGACATAGCCAAGATAATCCTGGATGCCGATCATCTTATTACCTCATACAACATCAGAATAGTGATGCAGTGGATTCCAGGTCACTCCGGCACACCAGGTAATGACAGAGCTGACAGATTGGCAAAGATAGGAGCAACACAAGAACAACCACCTACAGCGACAACCCTCCAGACAGCAAAAACACTGATAAGAGCTATAAACAAAGAGACTTGGTTGAACAGATGGGCCATGGGAGACACTGGAAGAGAGGTTTATAGACATATGTCTGGCCCTGATCCTAATGACAGCATTAACCATCTAACAAGAAGGGACCAGGCCACCATCTTCAGACTTAGAACGCAACATACTCCACTCAATGGACACCTAAACAGAATACAGCCACAACACTCCCCAGAGTGCCAGCTATGTAACTACCCCTACGAAACTGTTGAACACCATCTCTTTGAGTGCCCAAAACTCAGTGAGACAAGAAGAACGCTACTCCCTCCGAGACCAGACAAGTGGAACACCTTGTACGGAGGAAAAGAACAGCTTGTGAAAACATGCAAATTCCACTACATGGCATTGGGCCAAAGGGCGAAAGCTCATGCGCCGCTGGATCGATAACAACAACAGCAACAACAGTCAGCTGCAGTTAATTTGGTAGCAGATCATTCTGCATTAACTTTGGTATTTGCGTTATACCATTCAGGAAGCAGCGATAAACTTAAGAACTCTTCTTCCAGTCCTAGATGAATATTTTTATAACCCAGTTGATACTTGATGGGTGATGTGGTCTGCAACACACAGGCTGTCTTTACTTCCCAGAATATATCCTGCTACCCATTTTAGGCTGGGTTGACCTGAAAACCGTGGTAATTTATTTAAAAAAAAAAAAAATGTACCTATTTGCAATCGCAAATTACTAAATGTAAAATTGCTTTATAATGCCACACAACAGCCAGTAAATGTCAGGATTGGTTTACGATGTCATAAACAATACATGCAACTTTTTCCCATCACTATCAGATTATATTTTATATATTATTATTATATACAATCTTAGCTCCCATGTCAGAGTTTGTCATTCATTAAGAATTTTGCCAGATTGAAATGGGGTCGATGGAATATCCAAGGCTGTAAGTACCAGTGTCTACACAGCACATACAAGGGCTTGCAGCCAGTACCTCTTCAAAACCTGATGCTGAAAAGCAGAACCAGGCTAGAAAAGCAGAAGAAGAATAAGAAGAAAAAGGTATGTGTGGTGAGTGAAACAAATTGAGAAGCCCTGAGTAAGATCTTGTTCGTGTAATACATTCCAAAACTTTCTCAACTACTGTTTGTTATTTTGTGTATTCAGAACTTCTTGTTTTTCCCACTTTGAGGATAACACAGTAAAAGCAAAGGACTCTGCAGATGTTCTGTTCACAGATCTCATATCAGTTCATTCAGTTTTTTAGGATTCGCTTCCTGAAGCCCTGCCTATTGAAGGTTATGTAAAAAAGATGTCAGCTAAAGGGAAATAACCACTTTTAACTCTTTCTGTCCAAAGCAACACACTCTGTATAATTGGAAACTATTTATACATACCAATCTTCTTCTTCTTCTCTGTTTGCTGTCTGTATGCTCCAGCAGAAAGTCCTGGTTGTTTGTCCATTTGGACTTATGCTTTATGCCAAGGCCTGTTCTGCATGTTGTACATCCATTTTACTAGCTTATTTGTGTGCAGTTGTTTGTTCCTTGCCGCTAGGTTAGATGCATTTTGATTCAAAGGAAACTCCCAATTAGTCGACTCCCATGACATGCTTGTTGCGCTTTCCCGCATTGGGACACAAATTTTATGTCGGGAACATCAGTGTTATGAGATAAAATTTGTGTTTTTTCCTAGTTCATATTGGATTATTTCAAAGTGTATACAAAGGAAAAATTCCAAGGATTGTGTATTCGCACTATTTTCTTTCACACAAAGAATTATTCCGGGCTTGTGATTCAGTGGACTTACTAATCATCAGCTCTGTGCCGAAGATTTCATTTCCTTTTGGAAAAGAACATACCTGCTATCAACCCGACAGCCAAGCGGAGCAAGCCCCGGACACCGGAATCACTCCAGCTACAGCTCCAGCGATCGTCGGGACAAGGTCGGCTGGTTCACCGCAGGAGACATCAGCTCACCGGGTGAAGCCAGCTCACTTGAGGACCAGAACACAGGATCCTCGACCTTGTGGCAGGGACAAAGCCGGCAGAATCTACAGTATTAAGAAAGAGGACGCCATCTTTACAAAAATTACAGAATGGCGGTCGTGGACATCTCCATTGACGCTAACACCTTCCCTGGAGGTCTACATCAGAAAGGAACCATTGTAGTTACTTTAAACGGCACGGGAGCAGTGTCCAAAGCGTCGCTGCCATGGATGACGGCTTTGCTGCTGGGCCCAGGACAGGTCCCGGGGGGAATCGCGGACCTTTATAGGTTCATGAACCCCACCCGATGGTTCTTTACTCTGAACACTGTGGTGCAGGAAAAGGTGTACCAAGAGCTCCATGACAAGAGGCTCAACATCAAAGGCGTAGAGGTACACCTTCAGCACAAAGATCAAAAGAAGACCAGAATCACTATGGACTTCTTGCCGGCAACGGCAACAGAGGCCAGTGTAAAGAAGACCTTGGCACTCTTCACCGGGGAATAGAATCCCCAAGTGTACAAACTGCGTGCTCTGAGTGGAAAGTGGGCCGCTGTAGTGGAGGAAAACAAAAACCATTCCCCACTACGTGAACATGCACGGCCTGGACCTGCCCAACGGCCACCATCAAATCCTGGTGCAGGTCCCAGGGAAAAGAGTGAAATGCATTCACTGCGAGGAAGATGACCACTGGGCGAACCGTTGCCCCAACCGCTGGAGGCGCCCAACCCCGGCCAAAGAACCCAGCGCCGAACCCTGATACGGCCACTGCTGACAAAGAACGTGCCAGTGAGGGCCGAACAAGAAAACATAATTCAACGTGGCAGAACCCAAGCTGACATCCCGGTCGGGGCGGGACTGCCACAAACCAACAAAACAACAAACAAACAACAACCCAACATGACAGGTGAGGCAACAGACCAGCAAGCAGCGGAACCAGAAAACGCTGAGGAGAGCGATCCATACTCTTCAGTCTGTGTTATTTAGTTTGAAAAATATTCAAAGTGTTTATTTGTCACTTTAGATAATGACAGGTTTGACGATTGTTAGTTTGAATGTGTCGGGTTCCGGCGCAAACAACATCACGTAGTATCTCTCATACAGAAACATAAACCTGATTTTCTTCTCCTACAAGAAACAAACATCCAGACACACTATCTCTTTCAACAAATAGTCACACAGATGGGCCTGAGACATGCATATCACAGCCCGTCGATACACAACACAGGGTCAGGCACAGCAACACTACTCACATCAGACAACTGGGAAATAATGAACACACATACAGACGACAAAGGGAACATATGCATCATACAGATCGCAAACAACACCCAGTCATATACAGTAGTCAACAT